GACTTGCTAGACTCCGTACGGATTGTTCATGCCTCTCTGTAAACCGAGGTGCATCATTGTGGATGCTGATATAACGGATTCCCTCGTCGCATGGCTCCAGATGGATTGGATAAGACCATGTCATCTTGTTTGCCAAATCCAACCTTCATGCACGCGCATGTTCCCAAAAGGAACAGGCAGAAGAAGCAAGGCCCTGCTTTTCTGGCAATTATTAGAACTTCTGGCTGTCAGGTTATGCTTTTCGCATTAGAGTATCCTGATGTCGGACCACATCCAGCACCTGTCTTTCGATATCGTCCCATGTTTGCTGACAAGCCATCGCTCGTGATGGGCACCGGGCAGCAACGGACCAACAGCCAGAGAGCAAAAAGACGCAATGGTACCTTGCAAGTGGGCTTTCAACCCCGACTAAGGTAGGGCAGGATTCAAAGGGCTGAAATGTCGGCCAGCTCAGATCTTGCTGAAGAGTTCTTTGGGACACTCGATTTGATTCGATTCCCCAGATGGTTCGCCGCGCTTGTGGAAACGAGGGTACAACTCTAAACCGTCCACCGTCTTTTGGTTCCGGTGGCTTGGTGCAGGCTTCGGCTGGCGCATCTTTTGATGTTCAAGGTGGTCATTCGTGATACCGGTACCGTACCTCGGGACTTTCGATGGCATTCGGTATCCGTAAGGTATCTTGGGCGGCCGAAGAGAGGTCCTCGGGTGTCTCGCATAACCGCTCATCTGCGAAGGTCCAGCTCAGTTGCAACTTCACAAGCAAATATGCAAATGAAGCAACCAGGCTAGCGGCACTAGGTACTTCCGGCGCATAGCATATCATTAGCCGTTGGTGGTGCCCAGAGTGTGGCAGTGGGTGTGAATATCCAGTGTGTCCACGCAAAAGCAGGGCGAGGTTGCAGCGAACTCTGGAGTCTTGACACTTGAGTCCTACGGAGTAAGGCACCTAGGTGCACTGAGAGGGTGGGCCCACTTTCTTCCTTCCTCCTTTTTCAAAGGGAGTCGACCGTGGCTTTGGGGCGCCCGTCACGCTGCAGGCCGTTGCAGTGGGAAACTGGAGTCCTCTCGGGGGTGAGGAAATGGAGGTAGGTACTTGCTGGAGGGAGTACTTTGAGGTACTGGGAAGGTAGTGCCCATCCGACCCTTCTCAAGGAAGGCTGGCCCGCTGGGACGCGCTCAAGTGGACGCTCACACGCTCCTGCCTCTGGGTGGCCCCACCCAGTGACCCTTTCCCGCACCACACGCGACACTCGCAGGAGCCAGCCCCAGCAAAGGGGAGTCGCATCTGTCACAGCACCTGGTCATCCACCCACTCAGAACACAGCCAAAGAGGAACAGCAAAAGAAAAAAACAGTCGTCACAAATTTTTTGCAAAAATTCGCGCTAATGCTGCACCGGCACCGCACGCACCACTTAGCTCCGAGTCTTCCCTCTGCTTCCCGAACAGCGAAAGAAGGAGAAGGAGATAGGCACCTTACCCAGGTACTTCCGTACATACAACCAGCGTCATTCGCCGGAAAACGCACACCTCCCGCGCACCGCACTCTTCCATGCCTGCCTCTCTACCACACAAACAAGCACCACAAGCTTGATCTTACATCCCGACACCTCCCACTCTCATTATTCCTCCGCCTTCTCCCCAGACCATCCAACTCTCTCTTCCCCGGACAATATCATCTAATCGCACCTACTCCTCAACGAGTCCTTTCTACTATTTGTACTGCCTTCGACCCCGATATCAACGCAAACCTTTCGTCATCGATCCCGAAGCATCGTACCTGACATCACCAACTCATCCGTCTCTCCCTATCGACCCTTGGCCGACCGGCCTGCATCACGTTGCCCTTCGATGGTTGGCCGCAGCTAAAGCCATTTCAACATGGCCTTCAACTTCAACTGGTCGCCTCTCACGGCCGACGCAGAATTCTACCAGCGCGCCCGAGAGCTGCTCACGACCGCTCTGAACAAGAACCCGAAGCCTCCGATTATCGTCGATGACATCCTCGTTACCGAATTCAACTTGGGCTCCGTACCCCCGGAATTGGAAATATTAGAGATTGGCGACATTGCCGAAGATCGATTCCGTGGTATTTTCAAAATGTGCTACTCGGGCGACGCCTTCTTGACCTTGAAAACGAGGGTTCAGGTATGCCGCTTTTTTTTTTTCGTTCCCTCTTCCGCACCTCGCCATCCCGCAGGTGTTTCCCTGCACGCAAACTCCCGGGGCGAAGCTCGGGTTCGCAGCCGCCGCCGCAATGAGCTCGCCAATGCCCACATCACGACATCACATACTCGAGTTCGGAATCATTCTCCGTTCCAGTCGTCATCGCAGTGCGCCAGCTCAATTCTGCCTCGCGATCATGACTCCATACCAGTGTCTGGAATGCCCCAGGACCCCCCATCGGAGAGCCGAGACAGCACCCAGTGATGCTCTCTCCCCGAAAACATCGTCATTTTACCAACCACAATCATTTCTATCCTTTCGGATGCTTCCCGCTATCGTTACCCAAATCATCCTGGCGTTTGTTTTTCCCTCACCAAACATTTCTTCACTACCCGCGTGCTTGCATTGAAGTCGAAATTACCTGGCCGGGATCCGCGTCCCATGCTACTACCTTTGGCAGCCCCCCAAAATGCACGTGCGTCATAGCAATACTAATATATCAACAAATAGGCAAATCCAATGAACACCTACCTGTCGTCCAAGCCGGGGTTCACATCGCCGCAACCACTAGCCGCCGCGTCGGGTCTTACTATTCCGCTGTCAATAACTCTCTCCGAGATCAAGCTTTCAGCCTTCATTATCCTAGTCTTCTCACGGCAAAAGGGGTTGACCCTGGTCTTCCGCAATGATCCGCTCGAGTCGCTCAAGGTCTCCTCGACCTTTGATTCGATCCCCTTCGTGCGCGATTATCTACAGCGCACTATCGAGTCCCAGTTAAGGAATTTGATGATGGACGAGCTCCCCGCCATCATTCACAGGCTGTCTTTGCGCTTGTGGTGCCCCGATGCTCTGCCAAAGGAGGAAGAGGCACCCAACGAGGACGAAGAAGAAGCCGAAGTCGACCCCTTGGCGAGCCCCCCCTTGGACCCCGTCGATGCGAACGGTAACCTTCTCGACGCCAACGAGGTTTCCTCACTATCTCTCGAGGGTGGCCCGGAAGTCCAGTCGCTCTTCTCCCAGAAGAACCTTTTGAGACTAGCTGCGCTGAACGACTCCCACCGCACATTCTCTCTGTTCACGCCGGGCATTCGTGATGTCGTGTTCCGTGCCTGGACTGGACCTGCAGTGTCTGAGCCAACGAGCACGCCACCGACAGCAACTCCCAGCTTGTCCAAGACCAACTCCTTCCATGGAACTTCTACCACGTACACTTTCTCCGATACCGGTAGCGCCGCTCACGGCCACCTCCCCTCTAGGCCGTCAATGGTGAGCCTCAGCTCGGCCACTACTGGTCTGTCCTTGGGAGCAGGTATCCGGTCAAAGTCGTACGCTGGTCGCAAGAAGAAGACGAGGGTGGTCAACCTCCGACGCTCAAAGAGCCAAGTTGGCGAGACTCCCGAGGGCAGCGAGACTTTCTCAGAAACGGCATCCGACTTTGGGTCTGTCGCCGGTCCTTCGACTGAGCCTCTCATGACCAGCTCCATTGCTGAAGAGATCGAGGAGGAGGAAGCCCTGGCAAATCTGGCAGAATCGACTCCTAGTAAGGTTCGTTTCAGCCCGATGGAGCGGACACGGCTGCCCTCTCGACCTCCTCTGCAGCCGGACTTTTACACGGCGCCCCAGGATAGCCCTAGTGTGCCTATCAAACTGGACACCGCGTGCGAGTCCGAACCCGCTGCTGCGCCCCAAGCCCAGAAAGAGAAGGCTACCGTGGAGAAGCCGCGCCAGGGTACGCCATCCGAGCCGTCATCTGTATATGAGCAGGCTTGGATCTTGAAGATGGCTGGCGAAATTGCTCGTCGCGTTTACGATGAGAAGAGCCGCCACCCCAACCTCTGGGACGAGCGGGAAGACGTCCCGCCCCCGGCCTACGAAGCATCAACTTAGATCACCTGCTTACCACAGGTGATTGTACAAATTGTGCGAAACTCACCATACATCCACTTTGCTGGACTGCATCTCCTTTCCATCTGTTCCATCACTTCCTCCTCGCATGGCGTTCAGGGGAATTCCTCAGCTTTTTGGTTTTTTGACCATGGACGACAATGGCACAGCCATTTGTCCATATTGCAATTAGTGTTAATGTGTACATATCACATGGCGTTTGAAAGGGAAACACGGGGGGGATACCGGGTATCATACAAAAAAGAATGGGATTGAATCGGAGACACGGCCTCACTCTGATTATATTTTTGGATTCTCGGGTTGGGATGAAGACAGAGGCCAACCAACCACTCTAGTTTACACGATGACGATACGACCAAACAGTTGATTTTTCCCTTTTTACGAAGAAAAAAAGGGCGGCTGTTTTAACTCGGAGTCATAAAAGTCATCGGTATACTACAACCCCGAAAGAGCTCGCCAACGAGGCGGGCTGATTTATACAAACCACATCACAACTATCACAACTTTTTTTCCCTTTGTTATTTCTAAAACATCTTATCGCGAATCATCCCCACCGAACACCTCGATGGATCGGATGGGTAGAGCTGGTGTGTACAACACGTGGGAAAGAAGGGAATTGGGCTTTGCTAGGAACATCACACTTGATTGTAAAGAGGAGGAAGGCCGTTTGATGGAAGACGGAAATATCGTGGATATCCATTTTTTGTGTCACTTGCGATCAAAGTTACTATTTCAGGCCCTGGCTCATAAGACGAGTTTCATGGCGCTTAGACGCATGTCAAAATCAGGCATGCCTGAAGAAATCAAAAACTCCCATCTTCTATGCATCTCGTTGTTCACACCGCTCCATCTTGCATGTGAGATATAACTTTTTGTTCACCGCCGGACCGTGCTTTTATCGCTCGTTTTGTAGCTCCACAGTCGAAGCAAGGCTCCCTGCCATCTGCGCTGTCATGAATATAGGTATGTATGAATGCCTGGTGCTAGCCTTGCGGTCAGAGATAGCCCTGTCCACCTTCCGGCCCACCTTTCGGACCCTCGTCCTTTGACCTCTTCTTCTCAGGCAGTTCTGCTTCCGGTGATGCTTTCCGCTTTCCCACCTGTACGCCGGGCGACGTCAAAGGACTCAGCATCGTAGGTTGACTCCAATCATCGTCCCACATCTGTACATCTCGCTCGTCCCTGCCCGTCTGAGAATGCATCGACATCGTGTCTGCGGTTGCGTCGACCCTTGTCGGTGGGGCAGGCTCTTGAACTTGGCTACCGCAGTTGTACATCTCTTCAAGGCTACTGTTCGGTACCAGTCGACATTGGGAGCGCGCCGACGCGGAGTAGTTTGAGTGGAAGAGACAATATGTTTGTCCCAGTCCGGTGTCCGGTGTGCCACTCCCAGAACCATGATTGACCTCCACATGAGGGTTAGTCGGGCCCGCGACGCCAGCCGCTAACGTCCGGGTTGGCCTATTCCGAAAGTCGTTCTCATCTCGATGCCATCTCGGGGCTCCAGGAGGCTGTACTGGCCACTGCTGTTCGCCATCGGTCATGGCGGTGTCCATGTTGTTGTTGTTACGCCTGGGGCTTGGTGTTCTAAAGCGTTTTCCCTGTTGATGGCGAATGGGCGAGCTGGCACAGTCCATCTCATCGTCTTCCGCATCATCGCCGCCGCCTCGCAGCCTGGGTTGATCTCGATACATTGCGCAAAAGTAATCCTGGTTGGACCGAGTTTGCAAGAGAAATGCAACCGATATCAATAAGAATGCCAGACGCAGAGTCAACACCGTGTCGTTAGACGGTTGGTAGGCTCTGTGCTCCTAGACACGCTGGCTGATGAGCTCCAACTCTGCCTTGACGCGTTCGAGCCTCTCCTTGTCCCTGGACAAGGCAAGCAGATGGGACGCGACTGCCACCTTACGAGCAGGTCTTCTAGCTGCTACACTGGGCGGTTCCTAACCGGCCGTAGCAGCAGCAGCGTTCTCCGCTTTTAGCGCAGCCAGCTGGGCCTCCTTCTCCTTGAGAATCTCCAACTGCTGCTTGGCCATTCCCTTGGCCGTGGTCTCGGCCTCCTTGAGCTTCTTCACTTCAATCTGCTCGGTCTCGAGACTGAACGGCTGGCCAGGCTTGTTAACGGCGGGCAGTAGTGCGCTGCGCTCCCACGCCACCTGGACGTTTGATGTCTTCTCTGGCAAGGCCGGGATCGGTTTGTTCTTGCCTTTGCCTCCTTTGCCAACTGGGTGGCCCTTGGGGTGAGCACCAGAGGTGAGCACTTCGTAAAAGGCTTCGTACGGTTCGTTGAAAAGTTGTTCGTCGTAGGCCCATGCGCGGATCTCGCCGTCGTTCTGTCGCAGCATCTGCTCCTTTTCGGCGTCGGTCCGTCCGTACGGGTGAAGACGCAGATTATGGTACAACGTCTGAGGTTTCTCTCCTGACTCGGTCGCGTAGTATATCTTGATGGTGATTTCAAACTCTCCCCAGCCGGTCTCTTGGATAAGGAACGGTTTGCCCGGCTCGCCGTCGATCACTGAGTGGTGGTTCAGCAAGCGCACGATTGCACCAGGTCTCGGTGCAAGGACAACTTACTGCGAACGTGGTTAGGAATGGACTCGTGTAGCTTGAACTGCACTCTCCGAATCCAGTAGGTGATGTCGATATCGTCGATGGCCTTGACAAAGACCTCCCATGAATGGGTGTGGTCTGCCGGTACGCCTTCCGGCTTGGGGTTGGATTCGGGGTCAAAGGGACGGGCGGTCGTGCCGTAAATGAAGGGTCGTTTAATCTGTGTACCCTTTACGCGTTTGCCGAGGCTGCTGGGCGGCGCCATATTGATGGGTTAGATAAGTGTTGCTCGGGTGATGCGATGCGTTCTGATCAATGCCCAATGAGAGTGCGTGAGTAAGTTTGTGAGGATGTAGTGGGGAGATTTGGGTGTTGTCGAAAATGGACCGCAAGCTAAGACGGCAAGAAATGGTAAGAAAATGGTTCCTGGCGTCGACAGCCTTACGCCAAAGTTTGAAGTGGGGCATCCACTGTACCAGCCAACAATGACCGACCGTCTCTCGGGTCAGCCCCTGCCGAAGAGACCCTTTGAGCTGTGCCTACCTTACCTTCAGCTACTTAATGTTCTTTGCACTACGTGAGTGCCCACAAGGTTCCCAGATGTTCTTACCTCGATCATCTCAGTGTTAGATACATGGCGCAGCGGTCTACAAGACTTCAGGCATTGCTATCGAGCGTCGATCTCCTTGTGTGAAGGGTAACGAAGTGAGCACCACTGAGGCAGATGGCAGACTCCCCATCCAATGGCGACAGAAACACAGAATGATTCGGGCTTCATAATCTTGCAGTACTGTCACACTTCTGTGATTTATTTCGACTGCTTTTTGGAATACGAAGTCATCTCCGATCTCTGGAGCATCTTCAAGGCTGAGCAGTACCAAGGTAAGGTAGGTAAGGTAAGGTTAGTTGGAAACAGTGAAAGGTGCAGCCGCCATCGCGCACATCGAACCTCGAGCCAATGGGGAGCTTGGGGGAAGAGCTGCCCCTCCAACCCCTGTAGCTAGCTGCAACTCTTTAGCTGGTGCTGCGCCTGCAGCATCTCAGCCTGCATCATAGGGAAGGACCCCTGGCAGGTTTTAACTGGGGAGCTGGAGCTGGGGGCAGCTTCCGGACGGGTGATGATTTCATGACTTTTTTGAGCTTTCCATCCGCGTCCGGAACGGCATCGAACCACCTTCGGAAGAAAACTGGCAATCAGCTAGCGCCGAACCCGGTCGGCATTTCAATTGACTCCATCACCGTCGATCCGGCTCGCTCTCTCCTTTCGTCTCACTGCACTTTGTCCCCTCCAATTAGTGCTGATTCTCATCCAATTGGTTGCTTCGGTCACTTTCATCTCACACATCGTCCCGTCCATCTCACTCACACTCTCATCATGTCAACCTCAGCCGTAGCGAAGAAGCTCGTAGTGTGCGGCGGCAACGGCTTCCTCGGGTCGAGAATCTGCAAGTATGCCGTCGCCAGGGGCTGGGACGTCACATCCATCAGGTACTCATTCTCCTCGTGAACCTTTCTCATGTTTCTCCCTTCGTCTCTGCTAACACGTCCTTTTCCCCAGCCGCTCAGGCGAGCCCAAATGGTCCGCCGTAACCTCATCACCATCCCCTCCCCAATGGTCACACAAAGTCTCCTGGGAGCGCGCCGACATGCTCAGCCCAGTAACCTACGCGCCCCTCCTCAAGGGCGCCGACTTCGTCGTCCACAGCATGGGCATCCTCCTCGAAGCAGACTACAAGGGCGTCGTCTCGGGCCAGGAGTCCCCCGTCTCGGGCCTGCAAAAGGCCTTCGCCCCCGTCAAAGACCGCGGCGTCGACCCCCTAAAGACCTCCGCTGAGCCGGGCGGCGGACCCGGGGCGGACCTCAAGCCGCCCAACCCGAAGGATCAGTTCTCCTACGAGGTCATGAACCGCGACAGCGCCATTGCCCTTGCCAAGCAGGCCAACGCCGAGGATGCAAAGGCCTTTGTCTACGTCTCCGCCGCCGGCGGGGCGCCCGTCTTGCCCGCGCGGTACATCACCACCAAGCGCGAGGCCGAGAGCACCATTGCCAGCGAGTTCCCCCGGATGCGCGGCATCTTCCCGCGGCCGCCCTTCATGTATGACAGCTCGAGGAAGTTCACGCTGCCATTGGCCGCCATGACGGGCGCGGGTGCCCTGTTCAACAGACTGACGGGCGGCGTGTTGAGCGGGTTCATGGGTGCGAGCGGCGTGAAGCCTTTGCCGGTTGAGACCGTCGCGGAAGCGGTAGTGGAAGCACTTGATGATGTAAAGGTCCAGGGCCCGATTGAGGTTCCCGAGCTTGAGGAGCTGGCAACCAAGGGTTGGAGGAAAACCATGCTCTAATCTAGTGCATGGGAAAATTGTATTTGTAGTATGCCATAGACTGTACCATCCCACAATGCGAAGCCTTGAAGTGGATTGAATAGCCATCTTCCGACCTTGATCTCAGAATATATCAAGTAGATCTTCCCAATGTTCTCGTAAGCCAAACCCGGAGCGTTCAATCAATCCATACACAAAAAAAGAGTTCACTACCGGTGTGGCTACATCTCTTGGTGCTCATGCTGGGATTCGAGCTCGGGTACTCGCTAAGCCTGTCGTCGAGTAGGCTGGTTGGCGTATAGGTTGTTGACCAATAGCCATTCCACCGCCCAGCCAATTTGACCTGACCCGTCGACCTAGGCGGGCGCTTGCTGGCTGGTGACGGGAATGGATTTGAGAGGGGGTATAAGCTCTGTACTATTCGGTTGTATATTCTGGCAACGGGGAAAAGCGATGGGATGAAAGTTGCAAGGAACGAACGGTCAACACCGTTACTCTTTAAATGCCTAGCCGTACTATGCAGACACATTAAACAGATTCCTGAATGCGAGAGCATCTCAATTTATCCCAAACGCCAGCGCTCAAATCATGGTTCCTCGCTCAAAGCTGTCCCTAATCTCCGCAGTGTACTTGTTGTAGAAGCGCGCCAGCTTCTGGTTGAACTGCTTGTTCTTCTCGTTGATGTACGTCACATCTCCATCGTCGCCGTTCTGTGCCATGCGGTCCTTTCTCTTCTTGAGTCTGTTCGCCTCCGCCCTCCTGAGGTCTTCCACCAGCCGATCCACCGCCGCCTTGTCTGGCTTATTTTGTGCGAATGTGGTTGAGTCGGCTGTTGAGTAGAAGGACCCGTCCTTATCCACCGCGATGAGCTCTCCGTCCTCAGTCTCGACAATGTCGAGGCCGCCCGAAGCAGCGGCGCGCTCGATGGCCGCCATCTTGTCCTTTTCGTACTTTTCCATGTCGGGGGCAATATTCCTCAGCTGGCGCTTGTACACCTTGTTACTTTCGGCAGTGTAGTCTTGGAATGCATTGTTGTCGCGATGCGCCTCCTTCTTCTTCACATGCTTATCCCACTTCTCGCTCTCGTCAATCGTCCAGTCCCAGGCGCGCTTCCGCTCAAAGTCGCCGCCGGCGTCCTCAATGTCGGCTTTGAGCAGCTTTTGCGAGGCGACGGCCTGCTTGCGGTGGATGGCCGTCAGCTGGCTGGGGTCTGATGCGAGACGTTGTGATTCGAGTGTCGCCTCCTTTAGATTCTGGTCGGACGAGTTCTTGGCGCGGGCTTTGAGGGCCTTGAAGCGGGCCACGCGGTCCTGTGATTTTGCCGCGGCATCTTCCGGTGTGGGCTGTGGTGGTGCTGCTGCCGTTTCTGCTGTCGCGGGTGCGGTTTCCGTGGTCGTGCTAGGTTCTGTTGCTTCGGTCTCTTCAGGCGCGACAGACTTTGCTGGCGCTGCAGTATTGGCTTCCTCCTTGGCGGCGGTACCCGTATTCGTCTTTCTCTTCTTAGAAGGAGGCATTCTGGATACGTTTCGGATCGTCAAAGTTATTGCCGTCGCAAGATAAGTAAATGTGAGTTGTTCAGGAATCGTGATGCATATGATTTTGGTGGTTGTATGGTGATGTGATGTAAAGTGACGAAGAAGTGGGTTTTCATTGGGGGACGACAATGGGTGTTCAAGTACGACTCGACCGATATTTCTCCGAAGGGCACCACCGCCACAGCCTGTCGACACATGTGGCTGGTGGGTATGGCCTATGTGGCTGAAGGTCGGAAGAATAGATCGACCCACCACCGTTCCCCCGCAGGATCCATACGGGTAACGGACTCCTGCAAGAAACACCCGTGGCTGTGCGGCCGGGCCATCCCTGTCGTTGTCCCAACACCCCTGCGCCGAGAGTGCCCTTGCATCTCGTTACCTCGACGCGCCCCCTCTCAATATGCGGCTTCCCAAAATCAGACGACTTTTCTGAGCAACGCTCACGTGTCCGTGAATAGCCTCTGAAGGTGACCGAAGCTTATCAGAGACTGAATCGTCATACACCTCAGCCATGCGGCCACTGAGAGCCGCAGGCGTCCCTTGCAGAAGTGCAACGATTGCCTGCTTTCACACTACAGCGCCGTCGCTGGCGCGGCTACAACGGCCGCGTGTTCACGAAAAGAAGAGGCCGGCAGAACCGATAGTTCCATTCTCATGGCGGCCCTTCGAGGTGCCAGAGGTGGTTCTCGACCTGGACAGTTGGGACAACCCAATCGCACGGCCGTACGACAAAGATGAGATGCAATCGCAGAGGAAGAAATGGGAGCAGAACTCCATTGTCGACGCCACATGGCAACGGATCAAGCACTTTCAGTATAAACGCCAGCGCGATAGCGAAAAGTTCGCCAAGGTCAGCGTCAGCCATCCCTGGTACCAGCATTGGCAGGTCACAGATCTTGACATCATGACGGCCGCTCTGAAAGGCGACTCGCGAGTCGGTCCGCAAATGCAGAATCGCATACCAGGGGAAAGGCTGCATCAGGATGATGCTTGGAGTAATCTGAAGTCGGTTGCCTCGAAGAACGCAATTCCATTGACCACGCTTCAAGACGATGAAAACTTTTTGAGCTGGTTGCTCCAACGAAGGCCCACCACGTCTTCTTTACCACCGAAGCGCCAACGGGAAATTCGAGCATTTATTCGACGGTTGGAAGATCTCCAGAGCCTGAAGCGCTACCTGCAGTTTCTACTTCAGCACGGGGAGAAGGGGTTTCAGCTCATTCACAACGCGGATCAGGATATCACTTTTGTGTTATCTCGGCTCCTCACCAAACCTCCCAGGTTACGGCCCTTCGTCGACCTCCTTCCCTTTATCAACAGCATCTTTACTCTCCAGAGACAGCACGGTTTACCTGTCAGCCCGGGTCTCTGTGGTCTCTGCTTGATCATCTCGGCCAAGGCATTTCAGCCACTGGCAGTGTCGAGATATCTCAAGCTTGGGCTCAAAGAGGGTCACTGGGTTGGAGAGGGCTCATCTGCTTCCGATGTCAAGACTGCAGTCGAGGCGCTTGTGCGATGCTGGGACGATAGGAGGCGCTTCCCAGATGTGGAGCGTTCTGGAGAGGTTATTCGCCGTCTCCTGGGAGAGGGCTCGCGGGAGGACAGCGCGGCCTCCTTCAAGGTCGTTGAGCAGCACCATCCGGAGGACGAAGGGTTGAAAGAACAGTTACGGGAGTTGTTACATCGCGTTACTTCCGCCCCCGAAATACCCCCCGTCCATAAATAAGGCACCATAATGTCTTGGCGGAACAAAACTAGGGCTACCTGAAGGAAGCAGGTACCAAAGTTATTACTGTATATCGCGCAAACAACCAATCGGCTGGGAGAGGTCAGACGAACGTTGAGGTTGGGGAGCGGTGCTGATATATACCAATCCTCGCAGTGGAAATTCCAGCCTCAAATATTAAAAATCATTGCTGTGCTTCGTAACTCCACGTGGACCAAGACGCGTACTTCTGCGTCTGCTTTGCTCGATGACTTGCTCTTCGTATGCCAGCACCTCTGCTCTCACATGATGCCCAGCTAACATACGAATCCGCAAGCCTCCTTTGACAGCGCCCCTCCTCATTCAGCCCTGCCATGCCTGCATGCGAACGCAGGCTCAAATGCCATGTGGCTTGCTGAAGTCTCCAACCCAGAGGAGACTAGTCTCGGGCAAGCTGAATCAAGTCCCGCTAACTCTGCCATCTCATTGGGTCTACATTTCAAGTCAGGACAAGCCAAGCTCAAGCGCTTCCCCCTTCCGTCCAACTCCACATAACATCCTCCGCCGTGTTCGTGTCAAGCTGGTGCTGCCACTCTCCATTGTCTCCGATACGCTACATTTCGCCATGCTTCTGCATCGATTTCTAGCAGATTACGGATCAGTGCTGTATGTTAGCAGAAGCCATGGAGTTCTCCTGTAAATCCGGCGTGCCGGGCCTTCACTGGCTCATCACAGTTGATACCTGCAAGTTGTCTCCGTCTCGCCAACGGCAAAGGTTGCTAATAATTTCAACACAGGATGGCATGCTCTAAGTGGCATTTCTAACTATCGTATTTTATCCAGCATGAAGATGCAACCAACATAAGAAGCAAGTCCACCAAAAGAACCGGCTTGGGGTTACCGCAAAGCTTCGTTAATCACGCATCATCCGCTCTACCTCTGGATTGAACTTCAGCAGGAGACCAGAGCAACGGGTGTGTGGCAAAGCGAACCATCTCGATGCTGTGGCGCTTCAGACCTCGGACTAGGAGTCCAGCTCCCTCACCCGTCCGCCTTTGGTCTGGAACGGAGCCCCCGCCAGCTCGTCTGGATCCGGCCTGGTCCGGACGCTGCAGATCAGAAATGTCTCTGACGCTGCCGCTGGTGCTTGTCAACAAGTCGACATGTTGACAAGCCCGAACTCTGTTTTCTCTATCTTTCCCATTCTTCGAGAGGCCCCTCCCCCGTTCTTCTCTTTGTTTGAGCTTTCCTTCTCCTTTCGTTCTTCGTCCTCGAATGAACCGATGGTCAAAGTCCTGTCAAGACTGATCTGCCATCACTACCTTCTTTTCACTCTCTTCATCTCACCTTTTCTAGGAATTCCTTAATTTTATTCCATTCCACTGTTCAGACCGAGGTCACAGACCAGACGATCATTGCCTTGCGGTCTTCGAGAAGCCCACTCTACCTCCCGAGACATACATCAAAGTGGGAGATCTCGATTAATCGGTCGACCTTCTTCTCCCTTTGCTCAGTTAATCACGCTATGCGCACGACCCGTTCCGACTGAGGGTCGAGTATCACCAGGAACCTGGTCCGCGGTTAGATCAGGATTGACATACTGCTGGCGGAAGGATAACACGGATCGCGGATCACGACACAGAATGGCATTCTCCAGCCCCTTGCTCACAGTTCTGGCCCTGTCCTTGCTCCCGCCGTCAGCTTTGGCGCAGAATGACCCGGTGAACGACTTTTGCCGTCGTTTTGGGCAACAGACCGCCGTGGTTGATAACAAGCTCTTCATCGATGGCGGCCTCGTAAATTGGAATCCACTCTCATCCTTTCCCGCCAACTACTCAAGTAGGTCACTCCGTGAATCACAGTTGTAGTCCCGTCTTCTTTTCATCCAATGGCAACATTCAGTTTTCACTAACACCATGTTCAGATACATGGCTTCTATACCAAGATCTGTCCTCATCTACAGCTTCGGGCATGCCCCCTCTTTACGCCAATCTCTCCAAGAACGGATCAATTCCTAACGTCGCCGGTGGTGCCCTCTGGTCTGACAGTGTTAACAAACGACTCTATTTGTTTGGCGGGGAACGCAATGCGGGGGAATCGCCCATGCCCTTCAACCTATACGGCTATGATATTCTGAATAACCAATGGGATTCTTTTGGACCATCTCGCACAGGAGCTTCGATATCAAAGGTAAGCTATGGCGCAGGAGTCTCTGTCGATACCCGCGGCGAAGCATATTACTATGGCGGATGGTTAAGTAACGCCTCCGTTCCTGGTTGGGGCACTGGGCCCCCAGTCGCGACGACTGGCTTGGTTAGATATACCATGGATACCAATAGCTTTTCCAACAACACTGGGTAAGGAGTGACACCTTGGCCAAGCGAGGGCACACGTCAAACTAACAGTAACATAGCCCTGACAATGTACGACGCGCAGAGGGCAGTCTGCATTACATCCCCGCTGGAGATGGTGGAATGCTCATCTACTTTGGGGGCATACAGGATCTGGCTGGCAACGGAAGTTCCACCATTGGCCAGCCCATGGACCAAATATTCATATATGATGTCCTCAGCAGCAAGTGGTACACGCAGAAAGCTTCAGGCGATGTTCCTGGAATGCGACGACGATTCTGCGCGGGCGTAACTTGGGCAGGAGACCAGTCGTCCTACAATATGTAAGTACATTGCTTCATGTCCACACTCACTATTCGCAACCCACCTAACACGTATTCTAGCTACATGTACGGCGGCGCCAATGTTCCAGGCGTACTGGGCGCGGGATTCGACGATCTCTACATCCTCTCGATTCCGACCTTTACCTGGATCAAGATGTACCCCATCGGCCGCAACGGGACAGGAGACTACCCTCACCATTCAATGTCCTGCAACATCGTACCTGGCCGTGCGCAGATGATCATCTCGGGCGGCACGTTTCCGCTCTCCCAAGACTGCGATTCACCCGGGCAATGGGGAACTCACAACGCGGACCTCGGAAAACAGAATGCTGGTAAGGTTGTCTGGGAGTTGTACAAGCCCAACAAGACAACGTACGCCGTACCGGACGAAGTCATTGCCGTAGTAGGAGGCAACGGCAACGGCGGCGCTACAAAGACTGCACCGGCGGCAGGTTTCGACTACACCGACGTCAGCCTCCTAATCACGCTCACGGCCAGTATTCCGAGCCGCACGCCGACGAGAGATGTCGGTAGTACTGGTGCTCCCGCTCCCACAGGAGGTCTATCTACGGGTGCCATCATCGGCATCGCGATAGGAGCTGCAGTTCTGGTCGGCGCCATCGCCATGGGATGCTTCTTCCTGGTCCGTAAGCGACGATCAGACCGATTCCACACTGGAGCATCACCGCCAGGACCAAGCCACGTATATCACGCCCAGAGCATGTCAGAAGCGTGGTCACCACCCGCGGCATCGCCTTACTCACCACCATACGGTCCCTCTCCATTCACGCCCCCTCCCCTCTCCGCACATCCGCAGTCACCGCACCCAATGTCTCCGCATCCAATGTCCGCGCACACGGTCCCGCCGCACATGGGCCCGCCGGTAGAGCTACCCTCTGAGCCGTCATACACGACGACACCGACGGCTCTGGCAGGGACGACGACGCTCACAAACATATCGTCAACGGCGTCGTATCCACCGCAGCAGGCGTACTTCCCCGAGACGACGACGCTGCTGAATCAGCCGCAGTACGACGCCCACGGCAACATGTGGATGCCGCAGGTGAGCATGGTGCAGGTCGCTACTGGGGTGAGCCCGCCGCTGCCCGAGTACACGCCGGCGAGGGGCGACCAGAAGACACCGCAGCCGACGGCGGCCGAGGTGCGGCACGAGCCGCCGCCGCAGGAGCCTCAGGAGCTCAGTGCGGACCCGGATGACCGGGCGGAGATGAGTACGCGGCAGGAACATCAGACGTATTACAACAGATAAGTTTGGTTTTTGCAGGCGTAGGTATGGTCTATTCTGTTTTGGTCGTCAGCCTAAAGTGTGGTCTGTCAACGATGATACCGGGTAGGAATGGAAGCGTATGATGTAGTGGTACTGTCGAAGGAGTCTGGCGTTTGCCTCTTTGATTTGTCCATTCTTATTACTGGCACTATTCCCACTTGGAGTTTATGATATGGAATTGTAATCAGGCGAGTTTCGGCAATTTCTAAAAGCAGCAAACATCTTGGACCATCAGGGTCCGGAGCCATCAAGGTTCAGAATGTGATAAGAATTCCGCAAAATTTCGATCGTTGTCAGTCCGTTGATCCGTTTCGTGTAACTCCATGACGTCCATGCCCAAAAAGATAGTTACACCGCATTACAACAGCAGCGCCCGCAACGTTCGACGCGTCTCGACCTCTAGGCTCTAGCCCTTGGATGGATATTGCCAAGATCACATCAATATGAGTCAAGGTCGCGTGACTTGTCCGCATGCGGAACTCCTCTGCCCTCAGGGACTAACCCATGCAATGCCGGTGGCCGTGGGAGGGGCGCTGAACAATGGCCAATTATCATCTAGGATCTTGTCCCCCGATCCCAAGAAGGGTCTGGGTGATGTGATGAGCCCATGTCATGATCGGCTCATCAGCCGCAGCGCACGGTTGCCCGCCCAGTTCTCTCTGTCAACCTCACTCTCTACATGTCCCCCTCTATCAGGCTCACTTCGTATCTCTACACGTGTACGTCTAATAAATTCATCACCGCCGGCCGGGAATCCATCGTTGCGCTGCGCATGCGCCGTGAAAGTTTAACCCGACAAGAACACCGATAGCCCCCGTGGCCCCCCACGAGTTCCATCACCGCAGGCAGGCCATCGAGCAGAGGATAGCGCAGAAGTCAAAACTCCACCACGACGAACCATGCAAGTGGGTGACAAGATCGATTGTCGCTCTATAGATACCATACCTAGCTCTCTTATGATTATTCCTATTTCTATTCTTCTTTTAAAGAGCATTCTGATGGATACATAAAAAGTGAAAATAGTAGAAATAATAGAGATGATAAAGAAAGAAAAAAAGAGAAACAAAAAAGACAGCTAGGTATAGGAATGATAAGCAGTGGAATGAAGATTACAGTCTTGTTGGCCAACATACTATTTTGTCACCCACTTGCCATTGCCGTGGCTTCGAGGAGCTTGTGTTCAAGTCCCCTTGGCACGCTTGGGTACTCCGCAAAGAGGAAGAGGTGTGAGAGGGTCTCCACGATGCTGTGTAACCATCGGGGAGGAGAGGAGTGGGCGGGCGGCCATGTGCACCTCGGTGCCGAGAAACGATTTCCGTTGTTACCAGTCTTTGCTCCTTCCTGTATCCATGCAAGTATACTTTTTACCTCACAGTTACACAACGGTTTCTCCAAGCTCTCCGACTCGTGACTCTAGACTTTAGAGAAGAAGGCATCCCGATATCGCACTCGTGATCTGCAGGTGACCGGCGCAGCGATGCTTCAATGAACGAGAGCGATGTCGGAGGGCTCGCTGTACTTGTGACTCAGGCCTGAGATCTGCTAATCCACCGAGCTCGGTGAAGTCTGTGCTCTTGAGTTTGGGTAGTTGTTGGTTCGCAAAGATTTGGTTGGAGCTTGGGATATGAGGGTGGAAGGAGATTGTTCAACAGGGGTGGACGGGGGATGTACGGATACAGGATGGACGATGATCCTGGAACCCTGCCCTTCTCCGGGGGCCGGCCGGACGGGCGGGGCCATGTCACGGAGCTACTTTGCTACTTTGAATGGACGGAACGCTACAAGTGACTACGTTGAGCCTGGATCTACCGACCAACTGCCGCATCCACTTGTTTACGTTGTTTTCAATTATCGATATGGGCGATCCTAAAGAGAATATCTGTGATAGTGACGGGTTGTGCAGTAAACTTCGAACTGGCCGATGTTAGGATCAGAGCCGTCCCATGTAGTCAAGAGATGTAGTGCCGTTAGCCCAGCACGTCTATTTACCATTCGGCCGGGAACAGGATGAAATCTCTTCCTTAGTGTGCGCTCTACTCTAAGCGACGGGCGACAACTGCAAGTTAAGCCGACTACCACGTTAAGTCAGTTGAGAAAGCATTTCGTCATAACGTTCCGGTGGAGCATTCGCTTTGCAGAGTCGACTAGCGTAGATCGGAGAGAATAACAAAACAAGCAAACGGCATATTCCATGATGGGTATAAACCAGTGCAAAATACACCTTTTCCACTACCCTATTACACTACCCGAGTCTGGATCTCTCCTCCTAGCCCGTCCGTCGGCAGATCTCCCTCCTCCCACATGGACAAATTTTCCCAGTGGCAGATCCGGAAGGGAAAGAAAATGGGTTGACAGTCCCGCGGGCTAGTACGTAGTACCTTTAGTCGGAAAGCCTCCTTGCGCCTCGATATGATGTAATAACGAAGGAGGGAGGGGGACCTGGGCTCAAGCCGCACCGGCGAGAGCGGGAGGAGAAGAACCCCAATGTGTCTCAGTGGGAAGGACAATCAATTTCTGCAGGGTCCAGAGTGCCCAGAGGCGCTCGACGTCGGGATGTGCGTTGACTGACGATGTGGCCCAGAGCCCTCCATTGTCAAGCCAGGAACACTGCCCTCAGTCTTTTGTGCCAATGTCTCAACGACCACGGTGAGATCTCTCCGAGGGGGGGAAGAAGGCGGTGGGCATGAGAAGAGATCAAAGTGAGAATGTCTCAACGGCATGTGGGCAGAGACATCTCCCGTTTGTTCCTCGTAAAGGCCCCCCTCCCCTCTCTCAACCGCCATGGTCGTTCTCTTTGAACCCCTCACGATGCTGACGACGTGCGATGCTCGCAAAGCCGCATTCGGTGGCCCAAGGTACCGGATTCAGAAAAGGTCGCTCGAGTAGCTCGCCAGCAGCCAAGACACACGTACTATGCCTATACAGATCCCGGCCGAAGACAGAAAAAAACGGGGTACGAACAAGTTTAACCCCCCTTGGGTTCTTTAGCTCTTTAGCTCTTTAAGCTCTTTAGCTCAACGCTAACCTATATGTCATGGACCTGACCTCTAGGTGGCCTTGGCTTCTTGTCGACTCCGAAGCTGGCTGTGTTTTTGGTCGCCACCAAAATCAACAACACCACCCAAAGGCGAAAAAAAAACAGAACGCCATCCCAGGACTCGACCCCGCCGTCGTTCTCTGTAGACTGTAGTAGTTCAGCAAGGATCGGATTTCCGTCCCAAAGCTCAGGTCGCACCCGCATCGGCCGCTGCCGCCTAGAGCAGAGGCACGGATCTCAATTGCCGTGAGCCGCATGCAAAAGACACGCGACGCCACGTCCCGCTTAGCCCAGAGGCCTGGACAACCTTGCCCCATAACCTTACCAAGCGCTTGGAATATACTGGAGAGAGGCTCAATAATACTATGGTAGGCGTTTACGGATGTTCCTATCGTCCATGTCATCGCAAACTTCAACGAAGCCGTTGCAGTTATGCGAGGAGAGTTTCTAGATTCTACAACTATCTATCACGCTCCTCTTAACTCCACCAATGCTCTATGAACCTCACGTTCAAGTGAACCAAGACTCATAACCAGGAGCATTTCATCTTCATCACTATGCGCCTAGCTATCGATCAACATGGCGCGGTAAAGAGAGCGAGTGAAGAGAAGATCCTGTTAGTCCCTCCGCCCATCACATCTATACCAGCCCTCTTCCGGCGAACCGGGAACCCAACCCATCCAAAGAGCCCCATCAAGCCACCGAAAGCCACTTCCGCGGAGCGCTTGTGAGAATCTGGCCCCTACGGCCGTCGCGGCGTAGACCGGCGGCTTTGACAAGCGTCGAGCGTGGCTTTCTCGGTAGGTCCTCCACGCGGGGTGCATGCCGTTCTGCGTGTAGAACGGCAGTGCATATGGGCAAAACAACGGGAGACAGAGCAAGATGTTATTCTCGCAAAGGGAAGAAAGACAGAGGAAACATCAAAATCCAGACTGGTATAAGTAAACGTCTTGTCCCGGATGCCATGATGAAGTTTTTGGATAGACCAGACAGCCTCAACTCTCTCACACAACAAACATCCTCCTCATCAACAAGACCAACAAGACCTTTTCACTAAGGTTCTCCAATTCTATCCTCACAACCGGTCTCTAATATCTAATCGACAACGACAAACCACAAAAAATGGCTCGCCGCGCTTCCCTCATCGTGACAGCCCTCCTGGCCGTCTGCGCCTCCGCGGCTCCTGCCCCGATGCCCCAGCGCTCGACAAAGATCACGGCCGTCAAGAACATCTTCAGCGTCGGCAACATGTCCTTCTCCAACAGGCTGTACTGGGACTTTAGCAAGCTCGCCAACGGCGCCAAGGTGCCCGATGGCCTGCGCGTGAGCGGCTACCCCGTCAGCAACACGCACGTCTTCGTCACACAGAACGCCTACATCAACGGCGGCTACCTCAACCTCAAGGTCGACGGCGGCCAGAAGGCAAAGCCCTACAAGTCCGGCGAGGTCGTCACCGTGGCACAAAACATCAAGTACGCCTCCGTCCGGACCGTCGCCGTCTTCTCCGAGCCTGCTGGTGTCTGCAATGGTAAGTTCCTCACAGATATTCCGATCATCAACACTCTTCGAGACTAACACAGCATCAACAGGTATCTTCTTCTACAAGAACGACAACCAAGAGACGGACATTGAGTGGCTCTCCGACGCAAACTCCCAGAGCAACGCCGGCAAGCGCCAGGTCTGGTTCGCGAACCAGGCCACGAGCAAGACCTCCCTGAAGTCCTGGCTCTCCGTCCTCCCGCCCACGAACCCGACCACCACGGAGCACGAGTACCGCATCGACTGGATGCCCGGCGTCGTCCGCTTCTTCGTCGACGGTATCCAGACCTGGCAGACCACCCAGAGCGTGCCCTCGCAGGCCGGTCCCTGGGTCTTCAACAACTGGGCCAACGGCGACAAGGGCTGGAGCGCCGGCCCCCCTGCCACCGATGCCATCTTCAAGATCAAGGAGATTGACATGTACTACAACACCGCATAAGAAGCCTACCTACACAGTCAACACAAATCAGGGGGGCAAGCATCTGCTCCACAGTTCGGACTTTTCAACTTCATCGTATATATTTTTTGGATAACGAAATGGCAACCAATTCATGAGGGTGAAAACGATCTTTGGACAAAGGGAATTAATTGGACATAATGAGGAAGGAAAACGGACAAGAACTTCATGAACAAAATGGAACCAACTAATTGGGAAGGGGACATAATAACGAGGAGGGCTCAATTGGAGGGCTTAATTCATGACCATAGTACAATAGTAATGGACATAATAATACAGAAAATCAGAAACCCACCAAAACCACATCATCATCATGTGCCGTTCAGCATCCGATGCGAACCACTGTGAGAGATTGGAATACGGATACCCTAGGCAGCGGATTCAACAGCTGATCGGGACGGATACATCGTCACCGTATCCGAGTGAAAAAAGGCCCCGGCGGATGGGGCAAGATATCCGTCCGATGCGCGGAAGCGTGGAGGCGGACGGGCGCCCGCAGGCCTGCAGCCGGCAAGGGCAAGGCCATGCAGGCAGGAGAGAAAGAAGACCGCTCTCCCATCCTGTCACCCTGACACGCAGAGTTTGCCATGTCTCGATGTCAGCGCGAAAAAGCTACTGTCAAAGCTATGAACAATCAGGGTCCCCACGATATGGATGGACCCCGGAAAGTGATAAAAAGGGTTAGCGGGTTGGAAGATCATCCCATGCGAGGACAGGGGGGGCATTTTCGACTTTTGGATGCGACGAGCTTCTTGCGGTTGGGTTCGTCCGCACACTATCCTCCGCAAGCCTCCGCTCCCGCCCGCCTGCATAGAATGCTCCATAGATAAGACTCACCAGAGCCCTCCGTTGGCGTGTGGTCGATGGTTCTCCCCATTGTGCGAACCAGAGATCGTCTTTCGCGCCCACGCGTGTGCCCAGTGTGCCAGTGTGGCCCACGATGCCCGTCCATTGTCGTCTGTTTTTACGTTGGTCCGAAGACATTCCGAGGCCGGTTCGGCCCCAGTACCCGCAGACGGGATAGCTCTAGCCTCTTGAGCCTCATGTGGAAAAGCTTCGGGCGTGGAAAAAGGGGAGACAAAGTGCGAAGAGGCTAATGAGAGCTTCCCGTAGCCATGTTGAGGATGTCCGATAATCGGAAAGCATGGTTCTATTGTCTCTCGTTGGTTTGCGACTTCTCGACTTTTGCGTACAATACGGCCGCGCGCCCCTCCAACTCCTCTCAGGTCCTCATTTACGCGATGTTCTGGACTTTGGGCTAAAAGACTTGAACCGGGGGAGGGGGGTGGTTTCTCCCTGAGACGAGACAGGCAGACGCGAGTGCGGTTCGCGAACCTCTCAGAGGCTCAAATGGCGTTATCTTGCATAAGAGCTCACCACCCCTGTCTCGTCGTGGTCGTCGGGATGGCGTCCAAAGTGCTTTGGGTTCCTGTCAATGAGGGTTGACAAACCCCACCAGTCCGTGGGGTATTCTCTGGTTGACAATCCCGAAAGTATCCGACCCTGCCCGGTGTGCCTGGGTGGTCAATGGATGCGTGGGATGAGATGTGGAAGCGATTGGTGTATCTGGCCCAGAGAGGTAAAAGAGTTTTCGTTGAGCTCTCGCTGGTTGTTTGGATTGGGAGAGAGCTGAAGCAGAAATTTTCGTCGATTTTGGCTTTAGGTTCAGCTTCAGCCTTCAACGGTTCCTTTCAGCTTGTAAGCGAGGACCCTGACCTAAGGTAACCATCAGCAACGCGTACGACGACCAATGGCAAGCTCTAAACGCAAGAGAAGTTTGATTTTTTTTTTCGTAGCTGGCGTGAAATTCCAAGCTATCGGGAACCGATTTTCCACTTTGGCTCGGTGTTTTAGGCCACCGAGTTCACCACCCATCAGGGTGAGCGACGAGGGGCTCAAGGGGTACTCATGAAGCCGCGGCTGTTCGGCTCACCTTGATGGGCGGGCGCTTTGCAGATGGCAGATTAGCGGAAGATAACCTAGAAAGTGATGAAGAAAAGACCAGGGGAACAGCTCGAGAGAATCTAGAATGCCCATGGTTCGTCATGTCGTCTGCCGTCTCCCGTCAGTGACGAAGCTCGCAGAGGAGGGGTCGCGAGCGTGGGGTTGAAACTTGCGAGCTTGATGGCGTGCATATTGAGAGACTGCCGCCCGTATCCGTGGAAGTCAGGGTCTAGACACCAAAGAGGCATGCCGAACGAGACGTACACGCACGCCGTTGCGAGGAAAAGTGGCGTTTGTTTTTCTTGCCTGCCCGTACGCAATAGGCAGAATATCTGTGATCCCTCGGACTGGGATTGCATTGCTCCGTTTCGCCGTAAATCTCGGGAGTTGGGTCAAAAGTGACCCTCCGATGCCAAGCTGGTGGGATATAGAACAATCTAATCAATCATCAATCAATCTATCTATCAATCAGTAGCAAAACTCTAGTCGGACTTCGGATGCTATGGCAAAAGGAGAAAAAAGATCAAGCCCCCCACGCGGAGCAGAAAAAGGCAGATTGATTGAGTTGCAGCATGGCTACGCCTACCGGGGACGCACGCAGATTTTTCGATGCCGTGACAGGCATGCAATAGAAACTCTCTCTCGAAGCCCCCGGTTAAGTTCCCTTTGCAGACGAATGTGAAGTTCAAATCACAGGTCGACACGCAAACGAGCCTTTTTTGGGGTAGCTGTACAAAGTGCCAGCCACCTTGATAGTTCTAGACCATGACAGGAACCTGCCCAGAGATAGCCAAAGGGTCGGGAATGCAACAGTCTCAGTGGATGAGGTTGAAATCTTGTGCGCTTGCGTATCTTGTCACCTCAATCGTTCATGTCGCGGCTCTTGCTACGTATGCGTCCTCTGCTGAGATTGGCAAGTATCTCCCGTCGGTTGAGAGCACAATGAGTTGCCAGTTGCATTGTGCTTGCGGGTTGCCTTACGACCACAGCAGCCGCCTATTCACTGACTCCGACAGGTCCCCGCGGAAACTCTTCACACCAAGATATGATATCAGACGTGATGTGAGCAGACCTCGACCAACGGTTGGAAGCCACGCCAGTCAAGCCGACTGCGATTCATGATGAGACCTTAGCACCTGCATCTGACGCCTACTTTCGAAACTAGTCGGCATTCTTTCGAACAAATGTGACGAGATGGTCAGTTGCGATGGCGTGCCATTAGGCAAGATGAAAACACTACTATATTGTAAGTATTCGCAGCAAGCGGCAGTTGGTGCTCAAACAGCTCACATCACATCACACCCCGCATTCCTGATGTGATCAGGGTTCCTACCACCGACCGTTAGCAGCACAGGAGACGCAAAAACAATCGATCAGCGTATCTGGTTCCGGCCGTTTCGAACTTACGAATGTGATGTGACCTATCCGTACATGCTACGGGACAACCTTCACCGTTTCCATGTGTCGCAGTCACCATCCTCTAGCTCGGCCACCACGAAGAACGTTGTGTTAAGGGCCCCCTCGGATCTAGTAGTAGACTGGGGGATCGCCATATAGCGGCCATTTGGACTGGGGACTGGGGGTAGAGAGATGCTTAAGCCTATGGCGGCCAGCGTAGGGTACACTAGGCCATTGACATAATAGCCACCATAGTACCGACGGACTAAAAGGTACCTGTTCTGGATACCATGTAGACAGAGTGTCGATCGTTCATCCAGCACTGTTCATTAGTTTGCTTGTGTTAATGCAGACGATGCACGACGGCTTTGACGGATGCCGTTTCCAGGGCGGGGAATAGTTACGATTGATGTGGGCTTTCCGGTGACTTTCTACGTTGCATACCTTCGGATACATTGAGGGCCTAGTCCTCCGGTGTCCCATCGAAACCAGAGTAGTTGATTTGTTCTCTCAAGGTTGAGGCCGAGTATTACTATTACCCTCTGGATGGGACCCTCCTGCGCCGTGACAGATGGCATGAGGAAACTTACGATGTATGGATAGATAGTTTGACAAGTAGATAGTTTGACAAGACATAGAGAGTACCAGCATGCCTATAGGCTATAGCCAGCGCTAGCTGCTCAACCATGTCTCTTGCCCCATAACTCCTGTGTAGTATCAAACTCACTCCAGTTACGAAGACACAGAACTGGCCAGTAGCTTGGCATCTTGGGAGGAATGGGGGAGAATGCAGATGAAAATTTTCCGTCGGCTGCCCTCTCCGATGCCCGATGGGCCTGGGATCCCCGCAAAGAAGCAAGGGAAAGCAGACAGAAATGTTGCATCGATACAGCGTTACGGTGAAGTTGAGAAAGAAACGAAAAGTAAAAAAAAATAGAACTCTGTCTTCCTCTGACCAAACGTGATGAAAACACGTGTTCTGCGACGGACGGGAAGGGACGTCGTTCATGTCAAGTTCCCAACGTCTCAACGTGGATGAAGCAGACGCTGTGGTAGGCGGTTGGCGGCTCACCTTGGACAGTTGGATCCGACCTAGACTTGACTAACAAGGCAAGGCAAGGCCGGGATGGAGAAAAGGCCCACCACCGGTATACACATACAAGTGTGCGTGTGTGTGTGTGACTCTGAACAGTGAAGAGACTGCTGGACGGAAGCCCTTGCAGAGAACGGAGCCGGGACGAAGGGAAACGAGTGGATATTCTGTCAATGGGGCTCCGGGCTGTGTCGTCCTTGCAGTTTGCCCACTAAATTATTTCTCATGGGGATTAAGTTTTTCTCGAGTCGTTTCTGATGTGCCAGGGGTGGTTGCGAGGCGCTGAGGTCTGGAATCTCTGGAATCCTGAAATTTCTGCCCATTTCCACAATTTCTGATCGTCTTCCCTCTGCGTCGAGTCCGTCTTTGTCATTGTGTTCTGTTGTTGTTACCGGGAAGGGATGATAGGTAATATCCTTCGTACTCGGTGAGTCTGTGGAGGTGAAGCGAGTGAAAAGGGAGGGGGAAAAAAAAACCGGAGCATGTTGTTTTGCGGCGGGCGGCGCCGCGGCTGGCCGGAGAGGTTCCACAGGTCCACGGGCATGACTCCATGGGTCGCAGGCTTGTAGGACATGAAAGAAAGGGAGCGGGTGGGACGGACGACGCCATCAACCCATACCCAAACCCAAGGTACAATGCACCGGACCGCCTCAAGCTCGCAGCGCCGTTCGGGAGCATGACGCCTCCAGGGGACTCGGGGCACCTCTTTGCTATTCAGCCGCTCTACCCCTAGGAGCTAAATTGTGCTCATTGTTATTATGTGAGGTGGTTTCCTGCGGAAATGGGTACCGGTGCTCCGCCGAGAGTCAAGCCGGCTCACGATGACTGACTCCTTGAGTCGCGCAGTCGTTGAAGTCTCTGAACCTTCGAGCCTCTCGCAACGGGACGTGGGGCTTTCGGGAATGTTGGTTAGAAGCCTACGGATACTGTGGTGCCTTAGTTCCCTCCCTCAAAGTCACAGTTGCGCCTTTCAGTGGAGTTTGTTTCGAACTCTGTACGGCCTCTTGGTAACCCGGTTGTGGCTTTTTTACTCGCCTTTCTCACGGCCCATTCGTGGGGAAACGTGCTCAGGGCTGTGGATGAGGTGATGTGAAAACGTCGTATGAATCACGAAATACCGGGGCCGGGGGGGAGGTAGGCTTTGGAGGCTCCTCCGTCGCAGTCGCACAAAGCCCACAGCTAGCAGACAGCAGACGTCTGAGTCTCGGCTGCACTTACTGCGTGCGTAGCAACCTCGTGGGAACTGGGAATGGCCCACCCGATCCGACTCGAACGATTTGCCAGACTTCAACTCGAGCCGTAGCGGGTCGCTGACAGAGAGAACGAAAGTTGTTTCGGTCACCAGTCTCTCCGTCGTCTGTTGTTCCCCAATATGTTGTGCCCTTTGAGGAAAATTGCAACATCTGCTGATCAAAGGGGACGTGCCGAAAGTGAGAAAACCGGGGATTGCATTGCGGCGGCCTCTCGAGTCTGCCCCCGTGCTGCATTGCATCATGTTTGTTCTTTGCTGAGAGACAGCTGTGGCATTTGCTCACTAATCTCAGTCTGGTAGTCTGGACTCACCGGAGACGTGTCCAGTTTTCCAAAATCAGGGAACGGGAGAAACAAACACGATGGCGGTGCAGATGCGAGTAGAAAGGCAAGACGAGGAAATACCTCATTAGCCATCCCCGATGTAGAAGCTGGCTAAGAAGTGCCGTACCAGAAACACGTTGACTATGGTCTTGTACGTTGTTAGTGAATACAGTCCACGTACACCTACTGATCAGTATTCGTAGACGGGCACCCACCAAATTGGCGTACCTATCTGTGAGTTTGTTGCCGCTGCAAGGTACCTGGACCCTCGTCATGACGGAGTGTCTTGTTTTGCTGGTCATGCAGTTGGAGCTCTCCATAGAACGGGGTACGCAGCGAGGCACGTTGCATACAGCAGAGCGAGCCGACTGGCTGTCCCCGAGACGGCAGCAGCCCTTTGGAATTGTAGAGTCGTAGTGTTCATGCGTATGGGGCCCAGAAACCATCAGATCGTGATCACTTCACTGGTTCAGAAGAAAGAGTCTCGGTTTCAGCGGTGTCCCTTTCTGATGTTCTTCTTTCAGTGGCGGCTCTGTATCCTTCTTCCCGCTTTTTTTCTGTTCCCGCAGGAACTTCCGTTCCCCACGCGCATCAAGTGCTTGTTTCTTTCGTCCAAGGACTTTGGACGGCGCGGCGTGTGATGTACCTCTTGGCTCGATCTGACGTGGACCGGTACATTGCGTGTCTGAGGCAGCCCGCACCGAGGCCGTAGAGGTTTCGAGCGGCCGCTGCATGAGCCTACGAGGTATACTTTGTAGGTCCACGAGCAATGTTTCTTGCTTGTTCCCTGGAGCGATTCCTTACATAAGGCGGAATGGTTGGTTGAACGTTGATGCCATTTTGAACCTCTTAGCTAACAAGGTGTCGTTATGATGCAAGTTTGGTACCGCAGTGTATATCGAGTACAGACGGACGCAACAGAATAGGTATGATGCTTAAAAGAGGGCTTCGGCATATGATCAGGGGCTCAAGAGTCAAGGCCCAGGGCGGCATGAAAGAGGTACCGGGACCGATGGGGTGAGCTGATGACAGAATGGCGAAAATGATGCATCGTCGTGGCTCGACGATAACTGAGCCCCCTTCGTTCGCATCAGACCTGGCTCTTGTTAGCCCTCGCATGGCCAGTCGCCTGGTCACACCTCACATCGCTCGCACCTTGTCCTCGGCTTCTCATAGGCGAAGCAGGTAGCTTGCAGTTTGCAAACCTTGGGGTTTGGATCTTGTCATCCTGTGTCCAGCAGGTATGCACCGTACCTAGTGTAGGTACTCCATGCAGAGGTGCAGAACAGAACACAAGGGCCGCCCAGTCCCCTTGCCGATCGTCTCAGAAAGGTTCGTATGGTCCAGTGATCTTGTGATGGTGCGTCTAGGAGTGCACTCCGGCAGGTATTGGATGCCCTTCTTGCATCTGTACCTGGCATTCTGGCATTCTAGTTTCCATCATGTAATGGTGGATGCTTGGCCACCACCCAAACACACCCAAGCACTCCAAGGAAGGTATCCGGTAGATTCGTAATTGCAGCCACGAATTCACCATTCACTGTTCACCGCTGCTGTTTGGGAAAGTGTACCTTAGGTACGGAGTACCCAGGGGCCGTACTTTGGTAGGTAGGTACTCACGTAGGGGATTGCACGTGTAATACCTTACATAATTACAAGCCCGAGAACGTCGAGGAGGAAGGAATGAATGTACGTAAAGGAAAGTACGAAGGAAAGTGCCTACCTTACCTTGCGATGCACCCTTAGGTACAAGGCAATGCAGGCAGGTAGGCACCGAGGTCAGGTAGACAAGGCAGGTAAGGCAAGTACTAGGGAACATTGGCTTCATCCCCAGACTTCTCTCTCGGCAGCATCGTGCATCAACCTCTGCTTCTCTTTGGACTTCCCCATATTTGCACTATTAAAAGCCCTGCTTGGTCTTTTGCGGCTTTGCCCTGGTCCGCACATCCCCCTCGTCTCGCTAAGTAGTCTGTCCTGACCACAAACTGCGTACTTGGTACCCACCCGTGTCCACGCACGCAACGAGCTTTTCTGACTTCTCAACTTCTCACACAGTCGTCGACGACAAGGGTCCCGGGTTACCCTTCTGGGTACGAGTGAGCCGCCCGCAGAGAAGGAATTAGACAGGCTTCCCCCGTCCATTGCAGGCCTGCAATTCTCTCCACTGTGAGGTACAGAGTACATATACTGAAGCCTGGCTTCTTTGACACCATAATCCCCGTGACTACGAGAAGGCAACGGCGATATAAACCTCGGACCTCGATCTAGAATCTCGATCTGAAAAGAAAGGGCAATTTTTTTTTCTTCGCTAGCGAACCCGTTTTCTCAGCCACGTCAATAAGTCGGTGAAGAATTTAAGAAGAAGAAAAAAACCGACCAGCGGCTAGACAAGAAGCGAAGACGGGGGGACGGAAGGGAATACAAAAGATATTGCGCAAGAAGACATTTTCCAAATGAATTCCATGCCAAATTAGCTTGGGATACGAAAAAAGACACGGCTGCATACACATTACACACAGACTACAAAGAACGACATTTTATTCTCCGGTCTCACACGCAAGAGCCAACCCGCCAGTCCTCATACAGAAGCAGCGGCTAGCCAGCAAGAGGCCAGAGAGCCCATTCCCAGCTTTGCTGCCCTTGCTTCCCACCGCTTCGTTCGGACACAAGCAGATCAAGACCCTCACGCCATACCCTTCTGAGCACGAGAGGGTTCATCAGGGTGTCTGGTATCGGGTCATCGTTACTACTCGGTACACCTGTAACCATACACAATTACAAGCTACCTTACAGCACCCGTACCCGTACGGTTTGGGTGGTATTCTCGCTGCTGTCATCGGCAGAGTTGAGACGACGGACGAATCGGCGGCGCTTGATCCATCTCATAGGCTGGAGGTCCGTCCGCACCACAACATCTCCGCTTTCGGCGAGCCCACGGCCCTGCCTGTCCTTGCGTCAATCCGAGGTACCTTGCGTCTTTGCGGCTTGTCTGGGTACCGGGTTGAAAAATTTACAAGAGGGAAGACAAGGGGAGAAAAAATAAAAAACATCCATACATCAACTTGCAAGGGAGTGACAAGTAAGGACGGCAACGGAAAGAGTCACACTCGATCGGGCTCCATTCATTCAACAAGAGAAGAGCCATTGAACACTATTCCAAGAGTCAAACCAACCGTCTGCGGGACTACATATATTTCCCGGCTCCAATTCTGTCCCGGTTCCAGGAGCCTCATCTGTCGCCAATTACTCTCTGTCTCCTCGCCTTGACATTTCCTCGGCAATCTCGTCTTTAACTGAGTAATCACTACGTCAGTCAGGCTCTATTTCGTCTCAATCCACTTGAGGATCCGCCGTCCCTTCTATCCAGCACCTAGAAGGGCAAACTATCTCTCACTCACACGCCTGCTGCTCGGCTTTCGCCTTGCTGATACACAAATCGCATCTCTCTTTCGCAAATTCCCACCCCCGAACGGAAGACGGACAACGGGCCAATTTGGAGCTAGCCAGCCCTGGTCCCCGCACTCGCTCTCGACTCTGGCGTCATCGTGCTTCCTACGAGCTGTTTAATTAATTCCTCGAGAGATCCAGGCCGCAGCAAACATTGCAAGGAGTACTGCACCTAGCAGAGTACCTCCTAGTTCCGACTGTACCTAGACTTGACCTGCAGACCCCGGTTATCCCTGGAGCGAGAAACAAACCCACGCTGGCGCAAGTCAACCCCGGTCTCTCACTCTGTCTGTCACTCTAAGCCTGGAGACTCTCAACTGAGTCTGAGTCTCTCACACCACCCACCTCGCCGGGTCTCACCAAAGATACCTACCTAGCACGGTAATAGCAACCGTCAGCGCAGGTACTCTCCTCAGTCACTCTTCAGCCGAGCTAGCCCTCCCGAAAAAACACATCCGGCCAATCCTTCCTGCAAGCTTGCAGCACCACATCAGGCCTGCTTGGACTGGCGGCACGCCTCTTTTATTCCCTTGACCTCCCATCCCATCTTGTCCTATCCCGTCCTGCCTTGGACACACCTCTCTTCTCTCTCTGTGTCTATCATTCCTAGACTTGTCTCTTGCATTAAAAATTCCGACTGGCCTGATAGGAGGAACACGGGCTCTCTCAATAAGTTTTTCATCTGGAGCATTGTATCAGTCACGGTCACGGCGACGGTCACGGTCACAAACCCACGCCATAATCCATCCATCAGCCATCACCCACGGGCAATCCATCACTTATCAGCTCTCGGCCAAATATACATACATATCCACTCCCACACCCCCCAGCCAAACCCGCCGCTATCTTTCAATCCATCACCAAGACGCCTTAGCTACTGGAAATAAGGCATACCACATCAGGCGTCCCCTGCACATTGCGATAGCTCGAGACCCTTCTTAATCCTCCCAGCACCCGCTCTGACCTGCGGGGGAAGACCAACGACCGGAGAAGAAGAAAAAATCTCTTCAGCGGGCGGACAAGACACACAGAGTCACAGGACCACCACTCTACTGTCTACCTACCTTACCACCACCACCTTACCTGTTCGTTCACTCAGCCCAGGGCTTCGAATTTGCCACTCGGAACGCGTGAAAGCAGGGACCAATTTCCTGCATTCCCATACAAGGCCACCAACAGGCAGTCTAGATTCCCATCTCACCGATTGTTGCGAAAAATTTTCACTGTTGCAGAAGAAAAGGGTTCGGAAATCTTCTTCCCTCGTCCGACGCTGCTTCACTATCGTCTCTGCCAAACCCGACGGCCGAGACAGGACGGACGTTCACAACTGCAGTGGCACTACACGCTGTTGTTCGTCAATCATCGCTTCTTGGGGGAATAGAACGGCGCTACCCCTCCACCAAACCCGCCCATTCCCCGCTTATCTCGTCCCGCCGTCCATCCGCCGATACAGGCGCCAAAACACAGCCAACTGAGACTGAGGACTCGGAAACTAACTGCTGCGAGAGTCTGAGCGATAGACTACAAGAAGAACCCCTGCCAACCTCGTCGCATCGTTGGCTTATTGTTTTCTTCTCTCGATCTTCCCCTTCCTCAGATCCCTTTCTCTCAGTCGTACAAACAAACGCCAAGAGAAAGACTTCAAAATGCATCACAGCCGCAGAAAGTCGGGCAACACCTCCATGACGGAGAAGACTGTCACAGCTACCGATCCCTCCCGCTACGGCAAGCGTCCTTCGACTCTCACCAGACGCCAAACTCCCCAGAAGTTGGGCAAGAACCCCAGAGACCGGGATCGGGAACGGGAACAGCAAGATTCGTGGGACGATGAGCGGGAGAGTTTCCCTCAGTTCTGGTAAGTTTGCTGCGATAGGTTTTTTGTCTTTTCTTCGCTGTTCAGATCTGTCGTTTCTCCCTCACTCTCACTCTCACTCTCACTGCCCGATCTGGACATGAGTGCTTCCTCAACGCCGCCATGTTCTAGATTATCAACCCCGCAACAAGCCGTCTTGCAACATTGTCCATCATCCAATCTTTATTGCAGATTGTCATCCCGTTCGGGAGGTCTGCAGTATCACGATGGACGCCCATTGTAGTGCGCGTTGCTATGCTTCCGATGGGTGTCTACGCACTCAAATTCCTGTTCGAGTCATCGTTCCCACCCTATTGACCGAACAATTCGCTGACTGGGCCGTGTGATCTAGCATGACTTGTGAAAAGCAATTCGTACCTCAAGACGACAGGTTCCTGTACTGCTCAGAATCGTAAGCCACCACTTCCAAGTGAATCCCAAGAACGAAAGGAGTGACTTTACTGACACTACGCAGATGCCGCAAGCATGATCAGCAAACTGCATCAACTGGCAGGACTATGAGCCAACCGCACATGGGCAATTATCCTTTCTACGCCGCATGCAACCCCGAGCCCAGAGACATTGTTCCTCGCGCGTCCCCCTCAAGGCCGAACTCGATGCACTTCTCGCCGCCCACGACACCAGGTGCCACCTCCGGCGCACAATACTCGTCCGCCATCTCCGCGTTGAGGTCACTCAGCATCCGACCCCCAAGCCCGCCGTCCCCCACGTCGTCGCACGCCAGCATCTGGCCCTTCACCAAGAGCAGCACCAACAGCCCCAGCACTTCGTACAACCGTGGCAGCAACAGCTTTTTCCCGGCCACGTACGACGGAGGCTATGCAGCGAATGGGTACGCCTACAACTACAGCTCCAGCGGTATGGACCGGCCGCTACCGACACGGAGACCCACTGGGCCGGGCTACTCAAGACCGAAAAGCATCGAGTTAGTGACGCCCATGGTCGGTCGCTAACACCGTCAGACGGGGGCCGTGTCGGGAGGCTGCATCACCATTCAACTGGTTCGGCCAACCATTACACAACCGCACGGGGAGGACTGACACCTCGTCACCCCACGGGAATGACGGTGTGCGTGCGCTCGGCGGGTTCGATGGGTCTCCCCTCTCGTACTCGCCTGTACAATCCCAGCCCCAGAGCGCGGGGTTAGCGTCGATTTCGAACACCGGAAAACGCGGGGGCAACCACGGAGGTGATGAGCCGACAAGGGGAGATGATCCATCTCAAGCTCTCTCTTGGAGTGGTATTTTGGGTGTCACCTTGCCGACTCATCCGCACACCTCCTTCACCGGCCGTTACCTTCTCTGCTGTCCCCCCGCAAATCAACCCCACGAAAAATGAAGCATGGCGTGTCGGCAGAGAGACTAGCATTGCGACTTGTGGGGGCTTCATTTGCGCATTTACGATTGTTTTTTGGCTTGCGAAACGCCATGGCTTCGGTCATGTGAGGGAGGGGAAATTCGGGCAGGATCACAAAAAAGTTGGGGGTTGCATTGACATGGGGCATAGGCATTAATGGGCATTTGGTAAAGCGATTTGGGGATGGTTCATCCTGTCTTGGTTTTGCAGCGAAACCCGTTTGGTTCACCACGCCTTACCCAGCAAAAGCATACGGAGGTTCTCTACGAGATTCTCCGTGTTGCGGGTTTGGAAGGTGATTCCTGACGGGGGTTACTGTTGCCTTTTTTTTTCCATCATCATTCATTGTCACAACTCTCTGTTGGGGCACATCATCTTACATGACGGGTTCTTCAAAGGCCATCTGAGCATACATAGAAGGACAAAGCATCTACGGAAACCGGGAATAGCTAGCATCAAGGGCATCACGGATCTAGTATTCGGGCGCGCATTTCACATACTTTCATTTAACCCAGAGGAGGTACATGGCGGATACAGTACTTCCCCTCCTCCCATTGGGAACAATATCATACTTTTGAGAATAACAATTAGCATCAATGTGCAGCCAGCGGGTCATTCGACCAATGAAATGAGTTATCCATGGACACTTGGAATGTCGCAGTTGTGTGAGAATCGCGTCGAGTTGACCTTCAATTGATCGGCACCGCCGAGTTCAATGACGGAAAGCCGAGGTGAATGGGATGGGACACCTCGGAGATGGGAAAGAAAACGAGCAAGGTAAGGACCCCAATCGTCCGATCCACACACGCACGCCAGACCTTTTTGGACTTCACGATATGCAATGTTGCTCCCCCGGACGTAGCATGTCGATCACTGGTTTTGCGGTGCGGTCTTCCCCGGATCGTGAAAGTGGACGGGCGGGGCCTGGCGATGTGCGGCACTGACTCGGGAGTGCCAGCGTATCGATCAGTACAGGTAAGGTAAGCGAGCGAGTTAGGGACAGGCAAGAGGCAAGAGAAGGACAGAAAGAGAGAGACGCGCTCGACGCGAAGAGGTGTGACGACAGAGGGACCAGATTCCCACGGATGGACAAGTCTGGGAATGCCGTGATAAGAGGATCGACTTGTGTGATTGGGGAGACCTGCTCTCTCTGTCTTTGCCTGCCTTGCCTTGCTTCCATCCATCTCCCCCGCGGGGGTTAGTTTGGCGGCTTTCGGCAGGCAGAGTGCAGACTAAGGTACTTGCTCAATGCTGTGTAGGTCACCGATAATGATATACAGGATGTTGGGTTACAGCAGGATCTCGATATTAAATGGCACACCATGGATACACGACCAATGGGATGGATTTATGTGTGTATTGTTTCGAGGTTCTAGACTCTCCATTGTCGGGGAGGTCTTTTCGACTGTGCCGCTTCGCTTGTGTGTTTCCTCTGCTGACTTGGTCTAGAACTTTTTTTTTCCAAGGTTGGGTTGACTCTTACGGGTGCAAGTGAATGATTCTATTGATTACTGTATTACACAGCGCTTGAGGATGTCAAGTGAGTGAGGGCGAGGGAGTAGATGACTTTGTCAGCAACTGATCCCTGGGTCGATTTTGTCCGTCCAGTAGTGCGGCCGTTCAAGTTCACTGGTCTTTTCAGGGTATACCTATCCCCTTCTTACCATTCTCCTGGATAAGACCGTTGAATCAAGTCCCCATTCCGTGTCATTTTCGCGTTCCAGGCTTTTGTTTTCCCAGCGGGCGCGGGAGAATTACGGCAGTGGGCTAGTGACTGATGGAAACATGCGCTGAGTGGGGGGGGTTTCTTCATCTTGGGTCTTAACCTTGGTCCCCATGGATCGTGACATTTCGGCAGGTCGCAGGCCCCAGCATCACTTCCGGTTTGAATGGGGCCGAGGCTAGTGATGCTTGGGTGAGGCCGGGGCATTTGATGACGTTGGCGGAGATTGTGTACATGGGCAGGCAGGCAGATTTTCGGCAGTGGGAGTTGCTTGGGGTTCTAGGGGGTTCTATCACAGAAATGTCACATTCTGGTCGATTGTCTGGTTCACGATGCTTGATTCGATGATGGTCAAAGTGAGGCTGCTGTTCTCTTCCGAGTCATGTGCTTAGGCTCGTGATGAGTGGACTTTGACCTGTGAGATGGTGGTGAACTGGTGATGAAAAGGTGTGAATGGGTACCATAATGGGGATGAATGGATGAGCGATGACGGATGGTCTGGGAACGAGTCGAGGTCTCGTGATAGAGGCCGATGATGGCGGAGCTTCGAAAGAGGTGGGGAAGGGGAGTAAGGTAAGGTAGGCAGAACTACCGTCTTGACCTGAGAAATACGTGACGACGACGGTGACGGACGAATGGGTAGGCGACGATGGTCCCAAGTGATCGGGGCGAGGGGTGAGGGGCAAGGCAAGGGCGGTGAGCTTAACGCAGGTTCCAGTGTTCCGTACACTGTGGAATGATGTGTGTGAGTGTGTGTGTGATGCCGGATTCCGGGACTAGTATCACGCAAGTCAGGCACGTAATGTAGGTACGGTAGGCGGAATGCTCCAAGGTGGGAACACTTTTCTACTTTCTTGTTCTCCATCGAGGTGAGGTGAGGAAAGGTGTGTGTAGGTGTGCTAAGGTGTGAGTGGATGAGAGTGAGTGTGATGAGGGGCTGGGGCTGGGCAAAGGTGAGCATGATCGGGTTAGGATACGGGGTGTTCGAGGTGAACCTGACCGACGAGAGGTGGTGGTGGTGGTGGTGGTGAGGATGCGGCGGCTGAAGCGCACTTGACGCCGCGGCCGCGTGAGCGATGATGATGGCGTGTATCCGTAGAGGGGGGTCTTGTGCTAGTGTGATGAGATGGATTAGATTGTGCGTGATTGTGTGAGATGACGTGAGGCGCGGGGCACTCTGAGTCGTGTTTGTGAAAGGCGTTCCATTGGGTTCCTACTTAGGCACCCAAGTAAGTAAGGGCAGTAAAGTACCTACCTTCCAGGTTATCTGGCATCTGGCTGTTGTTGTTTGGGGAGTTTTGCCTCAGTAGTCAGCACGATGTTCTTAGTGGATGGGCTAACGTGAAAGTGGTGGTTTTCCCTTGGTGCTATGTAAGGAGATAAGATTACTTGGGTTCTCTTGGTGATAGGTGGGATAGGAAAGGACTGATCTGGTTGGTCTATGTCTGTAACTAGATGCGGGATGTTATAGATGCGAGATAGGGTAGTCTCGGTTTATCGTATAGTGCGAAGCAGACTGTAGCGGCATTCCCATACCATAAGGTAGTTGGTTAGATGGCTTTATTGGAGGGGCTGGACAAGCGGGAAACCAACTCGAGCAAATGATACACTGCGATTTGAAATACGTGTCGCAAAGTGTTGCCATTCAGGAGGGGGAAACAAAAGAACCGGTTCTCGGGATGTGATGGGCCTGTCGGGGTATGATTACAGAGTCTCATTTCGGGATCTGGTCCTCGACGATACCACCACGTTTGTTGCCTGCCTGCCACGCACTTGCGGCACACTCGCCTGACTCTTTCGGCCGGCTCTGCAGGTTTGCCGCGATTTTGGAAGGTGTTGCTCTCTGGCTTGAGCCCTGGGAGAGGGGGGGGGGATTCGGCCGGGTGTGGAGAAAAAAGGACAAATGTCGGCGATGCCGGTGTTGTTCGGGGTGGAGTCCGGGTCCCCGGTCTTTCTCTCCTCCTCTCTCGGCGGTCCGGGGGGATGGAGGGTGGGGGTCGTTTCTTCTTCCTCTCCCACAAGTCTGGATGTGACCATCCGATGCTGGAGACTGACTCTCATCCTTGTTCGAGCGCTACCACCTATCGCGATGAATTTTCGGAAACGTTATATCGACCGCGGTGTTATCGTCGGTGATTCTGTGGAATGGGGGTTTCGACTTTTCCCTTGCAGCGCTCTTTCTGAGGGGCGCTTGTGTCGTGCATGAGTGCATGGTGGCTTTCCAAGTGGGCCGATGATCGCTCTGCTTGTTTCTTAATCATGTTTTGGGGGGCGAGAGAAGGGCCATTGACGCCGATCGTTGAGATAGCGGCTCCATGATAGAGACTGCATATGATGGTGGCATCGGAGTAAACTCCGACTTTCTCATCTGCCCGCCCTTCGCGGATGCCCGATGCCGTCATAGCGTTGAGGCAGAGACCCTCAAGTCTCTGTGTATCCCAGTTTCGAGTCAGGCATGGCGTATTGCTGGCTATCACGCGGCTGGACGCGTCCATGACACGTTAGAGTTGCTCATGTTGGAGTTGCAATCCTCAATCCTGGTGCGACATTACTGTTGAGCAGCTGAGTACTGGTTTTTGAGCGTGCGTACAAGCGCCTGGCTTAACCCTGATTTCGTATGACCCAGTCTTTTATATGACATGTGGTTGGCAACTACTGATTGGACAATATCACAGTCGTAGCTGTGCACACAAAGTTCACGATCGGCTAGAGATAATCTTGACTCTTCGGATTGTGGAACACTCATAGAGCCTAGATATTTCATTGACAAACTTATCAATATAAGGCTTTGACGTGTTCGTAAACGGCAGTCCTGAGCCAACAACGCAGAGGCTTAATCCTCATCTTCATTCTTGCCCTCACGATTCTCTGCTAGCGGCTGAGCAGCCCGAGAATCGCCTATTCGTCCACCGCCGGACCACTCTATGAAAAGTTTGGTCTATTCTATCCTTGCTGTCTTCTGCGGTATTCCATAGCAGAATGTACGTCAGACGCTTCCGGATAATGAGCTCTAGATATCCTAAAGTGAGAAACCTAAAGTCTTGTATGGACGTTTTCGTGATTGTTCGGAGACCACCATCGCTTTATCTATTAACAGCTTAGAATGCTATTAACTCTTGCCAGCTAATCCAAACAAATGGCACAACATTTAGGCTGTCGAGTCTAGATCTAGGCTTTGGAAGCTGTCTCATGATTAAATACCTGTCTCCGAGGCGGTTAGCCAGCTGACGTTGGGCGCTGGCTACAGAAAGACGTAGACTTTTCTCTTGTCCAGATCAACAGTAGATATACCGCACACATTTGCTCGGTAACTTGGCAATACAGAAGCCTTGCTTTTTCATTTCTGGCAACACGTGCCTGTAGTGGCTACAGAGTGGCGTTGGAGCATTTTTGTTTTTACCATGTGATTACTTCAGTGAACCCATGTTTCCTCCAGATATAAGAACAGGGCATCCCTTGGTGTTTCCGCTCCCAGACAGATCATGCCTGTTGCTCTGAACGATGGAGGTATCCTGTGATGGGGGTCCTGGGCGTACCTCCACAACATTGTCCTGCGGTTCATGCAGGTAGAAAGAGCGCCGTTTCATTTACAGTAAATATAGATGGATGGTCTCCGGCCAGCGCCGCCGCGTGATGAAAAGGGCAGCTTGCCCATCCCGAATTGCATGGCGGTTTTCGTATCGAAATCACCATATTGAGTTGAGCGCGTGCTTGGGGCACCTTGCGCGTATCGTGTAGTTAAAAAGTGTACCGTATTGTGTGATTTCCCGTGAAAGCCTGATCCCGGTAAGGTCGATCTTTGCACCTGTAAAGCCGGAAAAAAAACCACCACATAGATGGATGGTCGTTGAATCATCGTATCCCTTTCTTTCATCATTCATCACTTGGGACATGTAGAAATATTTTCTGACGCTACTGCTGAAAAAGTGTAGACGAATTGAATAAATCCTGAAAAACATCGATGCCCGGCAAGTATAATCAGGTATTATGATAGTTCTGCTCCTTTTTGAGGAAAGTGTCTTTTGTTGGCAATAATGTCGCCAAGATACCGTTATCACAATCGATGCGGCATCTTCTGGTTGGGAGCATGCCAGCATCAAGGCGGCCAATGCAGTGTTTTCAAATAATAATAACAACAACGAACCAACCTCACATGTTAAAGATAGCTTCCCGTGCCTAAGGGTTGGTACGGCTTTGTTTCTTTGCTGAATTTGACTTTTTCTATACTATTGATTATAGGCATGATCCGTCCCTCGAGGCTCTCCTCCATCACTTGAGTTCCCAAGACCATCAACCTTAGTCGCCGGGTCTGAACTGTTGGATAGGACCAGTTCCGGCCCTGACATAGATTCGACCATCCTGATCTTGACTTGCTTGGCATACTTCGAGATGTCTCCCGTCCCTCGGAGCTGCTCCCTAGCTTCGACATCCAGCCCATGCGTCAATCCTGCCAGCGAGCTACCTTTCCACGCCGGGAGTCGTAGCTTCCTAGTCTCAAACATTGAGAACAAGCAAAACAGGCATCCACCGAAGAGCGCCCCGAAAGGGAGCGATATGAATGCCCACCGAACACGTATGTGAACCACCGACTCTCTCGTCGTCCCGCGATGAGGCGCGGTCTGGAGCGAGACGTCTCGCATCCACTTGGTCATCCCGAGGGCGGCGATCTCGAAAGTGGACGACAGTTTCTGCGAAATGCGCCGAGGGTCGAGATCACAGAGGGCTGTTCGGGCTCGAGCAGTTCAAAGGTCGGATAGACGAGCTGCTTCAGCGCCAACGAACCGGAGCGTCTCGCAAAATTCTCCACAAAGGCACTAGACACTGTCGCCGCGGTGGCTTGGGATATGTTGAACCACAGCTCGTCGTTCTGGTCCATCGACGCGACGACGTCGTCGTCGGGCGGTAGGGTGAGCTGTAGATCTGTTCGCCGCATGTCACCCACCGAGTGAAAGTCGAGGGTGTAGTTCGACATTCTGTTGTACACACTAATCTTTTCCGTAGTTTTATGTGACGAAGATAAGGCATAAGAGAAAGAGTCGAGGTTTCGAATCGAGTATGAACCGAGCACCTCTTCCTTCAGTATGCCCTTTGTGACGGTCGAGCGGTAGACATTTGTGCAGAACGACAGAGCACACTCGAGAGCCCTGGCTTCAGGCGCTTTCTCTTTTCCTTCCGCAGCGTCCATCTTTGCTTTCATCATGGCGAAGGAGACGATCAGAGCCTTCGTGTCCTGGAAGGAGAGTGTGTCCCCAGGTTGCGTCGTGGTCTGAGCCGTGAGCTCGACCTGCTGCCCGCTGCCGTCATCAAAGTTGGATATGTTCAAGTTCATTGTCGGCAGCTCAAACTTGGTGTAAGCAAACTTATCGCTCTTATTCAGCCTCACATTCTGCATCGACCAGGGCACCGTGAGAGCCTTGTCCGAAGCGTCAGCGATGCCCGTGGACTTCACCAAGTGGCTGGAAACGTCGTTACAAGCGCTGCACACCGCCGAATGAGGCGTACGGAGCCCAGGTGCAGTTCCCGTCGCGCAGGTGAAGGCGGGCTGCTGGCTGCTGGGCGTACTGAGATTGTTGAACCCCGTCCAGATGGCGGAGAGCGAGCCAAAGTCGTATTCGAGAAACATTGGTTCCACGGAGACGGCCGTGTACGGCGCCGGCATTTGGATCGACTGGAGAGGTGTATCGCCACTGAAGCCTGCCTTGCCGACGTCGAGTCTCTTTGCCGTGCCGATGGAGGCGACGATTCCCACCTCTGATGAATCGACTTCCTTCTCGTAGAATTCGACGACAGCCTGGAGAAATGGCTCGAATCCGAGCAGGACGACAGTTACCAGGGCACCAAGGGACACCCAGTGCCTAGACATGACGTTGAGCCAAACGGTATCACACGTGGAGGGAATCGACCAACCTGTGTTTGATGCGCCATAGAAGCTGGGCGCTCCCCAAGGGGCCACGCCCTGCTTCCTCGAACCGATCATAACTGATCATGTAATCGTCCTTGCGCCTGAATGAGTTCCATTTTTCTAGACTCAAGCAGGCACCAACGGCGAATGCCTGGCTGGCTCTAGACACCGTGCCCAAGATGGAGATAATTGTGTTAAAAGTGAAGAAGAACGCCCATTTCGATAGTGGCTTCCCATCGTACGCTGTTAGGAGGGCGGTGACTGTGACCAGAGCCGCGATGCTCAGAACGAGGGCCCATATCTCCAGCGTCCAGCTGTACTTGCTGGTGGCTAGCTTGGATTTCTTCGGCTTGGCTCTGTTCGAGGTAAGACTCGTAGTTTCTGTTGTAGACTCATCGATGGGTTTGGTATTTTAGGCCGAGTATGCAGTTTGGGACTGGTGTAAAGACTCATTGTTTGCATTGACTGTGTATTCGGGTGCCATTGTAGTGCTTGCGATATTATTGAGTGGCTTTCGTGGTATGTACATGGTGTTTCTTGTATTTGCGGGTGATGCGAAGAGTTTCAGCAGAGACGAGAGAAGTGACTCATAAGCAGGTATCGATTCTGCGTCTAATCACAAGCTAATATGGCTATATAGACACTCCTCTCGAGGTGAAGGAGTATAGCTATGGTAGAAATACAAGTATGTAGCGGTTCAGAGACGGAATACTATTAGCATGGCAGTGCATTTCTGGCGACACAGCAGGCATAGCCCATTTTCCATGCCTCAGCCAGACAAACCACGAGTATCGGGAATGGAAATCTGGGCTTTGCTTTTATTGGCCGCCTGTTGCTCCCATCCATCTCCAGTTCTGCAGGTCTTGAATATATGATGTTGTAGGATGACCACACCGAAATGTGACTGGGCCTCGCCTAAGAGTTGATAACCGCAGGCTGCAACAAGACGGCACAATTGCTTGAGTTGTCGGGTGGATATTTTAGGATGCCACAGCTGAATGCATTTGACCTATAAGGCCACATATCAAGTTCACAACAAGTCGTGGTGCCAGGGCGACGTTGACGCATAGTGTCGTAACAAGTACTAAATATGCTTTGCATGTGCCATGAGGGCTTGCATGCACGCCCGTTCTCATCAGGCTGCAACGACAGGCATTCCACTTGCCAAACCGAGTGAAAGGATTCGAATTAGCAAAATGGACATGGAAGCCATCCGAAAAAGCAAAAATTTGGATTACTGTGACCGCGGCAGGGTTCGAACCTGCGACCTCCTCGGAGTTCAAGTGTTCACATTGTGAACGAGGAATCATAACCACTAGAACACACAGCCGGATTTGTTGAAGAATGTCGCCAACTAGAAATTCTAGTATGGCTGGGGCTGCCTCTGCAGCGAAATCCAGTTGATCCAGACACAGGGTTTCGCCTCACATCGAAAAAACCTCAGAAAAGCTGTCATCATCGTAAAAGTCTGATGCTCTGTTTCAGTTTCAAAAAAGGAATGGTTTTCTGTTCTTTCTGTATTACCTCGAAGGCTAGAGTTTGGGATTGAATTGGGGCGAAGACTGGACCGAAGTATTGGCTTAACATATCCTGTGGACGTTCATGCAAATTTTTACTCGCCTATCGAGGAAATAACATTGTAATGGAATGTAGATTGAAGGTCCGGTTTCAAGAAGCAGGCGATCGAATGGGCCATTCCAATTGACTGGATTTAAGCTGTGTCAACTAGCCTGAAGCCTCACAACAAGAGAAAGGCAGTTAGCCTTGCACCGACATCGCAACCCCACCATCCACACAAAACTGAACAGGAGGGGTCAAGCAGTGACGCACTCGTGGAACTCAAGTCGATGGAACGAACTTCTTCTACCAACAACGAGGACACACAATCACACATACCCAAAAATGACAAGGTTTCGCCCCTGTATAGACCTTCACGCCGGTCAGGTGAAGCAAATCGTCGGCGGCACCCTCGACAGCACAACAGCCGAGCTCAAAACCAACTTCGTGTCGACGCATCCGCCGGCGCACTTTGCGCGGCTGTACCGAGACAATGAGCTCACGGGCGCCCATGTCATCATGCTGGGGCCCGGCAACACCGAGGCCGCGCGGGAGTCGCTCAAGGCGTGGCCCGGCGGGTTGCAGGTCGGGGGAGGCATCAACGACACGAACGCAAAGGAGTGGGTTGACGCCGGCGCGGAGAAGGTCATCATCACGTCGTACCTCTTCCCTGAGGGACGGTTCAGCCAAGAGAGACTTGATGCGGTGCTGCAGGCGTTGGGAGGCGATAGGGGCAAGCTTGTCATTGACCTAAGCTGCCGGCGGCGCGGAGATGACAGGTGGTTTGTGGCTATGAACAAGTGGCAGACGATCACGGACATGGAAGTCAATCAAGGTATGTTTCTAGCGGCATTGTTTGATAGGAACGAAGTGGGTGAGTCACATGGCTGGCTGACTGACTGACTGTGTTGCAGAATCCATTAAGCAGCTGGAGCCGTACTGTTCAGAGTTCCTCATCCACGCGGCAGACAACGAGGGTCTGCAAAAGGGCATCGACGAGAAGCTGGTGGAGAGGCTGGCCGAGTGGTGCAGTCTGCCCGTGACGTATGCCGGAGGCGGCAGGAACCTGGAGGATCTGGAGATGGTGAAGAAGCTGAGCAAAGGCAAGGTGGACCTGACGATTGGTAGCGCGCTGGACTGTTTCGGAGGCAACGGGGTCAAGCTGGAGGAGTGTGTTGAGTGGAATCAATCCCAGGAGTAGAAAAACCAAAAAAGTCGAATGCCTACAATCAACAATCAACCCAACACTTGATTTGGGATGACAGGCGTCACATCCGGCGCGGCGGCCGTGCAACTTAGCTGGAGGCGAGCGGCGATGTTGTTTCAGCCAGTGCGACGAAGCAACGGTGGGGAGATGCGCTAGAAGAAGCGAGCACAAAGAAACAAAACACGCATAATGGACTCATGGAGCTGGTGTAAAACGCACGATGTCGACGCAGACAGGCACTAGTCCCAACGTCTCCTCTTTCCTCTCTAGTTTTGCAGGTACGAGTAGGTAGCTTTTCCTCGCTCTCGCGTGCCAACAGGACCCGGGGGCGCGGCTTTTCTTGCGAGATAAACTTACGTACATATGTAAGTACGTACATTGCATCGAATCGTACATGAGGAAAAGATGCCCTGCACGATGGTGTGCGTCGGATCGGAAAGTCTGTTGTTGTTTGGCCCCTCTTTCGTCTGTCGCTCCTCCTCATCGTGGCTCCTCTCTTGGGGCTGAAGAGGAGGGAGGGGCTAGGATATTGCGCAGTGTTTGGGGGCCAGCAGGTGCTCCTGGCTCTGGTGGATTGGATCGGAAGATGAGGAGGAAGGAGGAGGAGGAGAAGCCTGGAGGGGGAGGATACATGGATCACACTTGGCAGGCAGGACCACCAGGAAGTCAATTGCGCTGCACAATGGGACGGCATTCTCGCAAAAAATGGCTTTGCGCCGGCGGGGGCGGGGACAAGACGGTGCAGCTCTTAGGAGCAAAGTCCGGGCGAGAAGGACGATCTTTCTCGTTTTTTTATACGCACACATGCAAAGTACTTGTAGACTCGAGTAATTATATACGAATCAATACAGACGAATCAGCAATTGAGGAAGAAGAGCACACAGAAAAACAACAATAACAATGGGAAAAAATCCGGAAAGTTGCATGGACAAGCAACGACAACCAAAAAAGCCGAGTACAGGCCGCAAGCTTGATAACAACAACAGCTTTCTCTTCTCTTCCGTCTGTTGTGTTGGTAACCCAGAGTGACATTGGATGACGAGAAATCATAACACAGCCCACCCCTGGCGAGCACGGGCAGAGGGGGCACGTCTAAAGCAACAACGAGCTCCATATCGATATCCAGCCGACGGGCTAAAATGCTCAGAGCCCACCAAACCCACCATCTGATGGGATTGTGCGATACGATGCGATGGAGAGAAGCACGACATGCGGGAACCAAGCGTGGGCTTCCCAGGTCTAGGTCAAGGGCAAGGCCTCGACATCTCTGACGGTTGGTACGGAGCACTGGGTAAGTAAGTCATCACGATGACTTGACCAAGGACTGCAACTGCTGCAAGAACCCATGTCCTCAGCTGCTGTTGGCCCGGAGAATTATCATGGTTCAACAACAACATTGACGAGGGGGGGGGGGGCCGGACAAGCATGAGATGGAGCGTAAGCCTGATGGTTTCGGGCAATAAGCAGCACACATTACTACTCCGTACATGCAGTGCTGCACAGTCCTTACGCGCACAGAAACGAAAATCAAGTTGTTATTGATGAATATTATTCTCCTCTCTTTTTCGGTTCTTTTCTGTCCTTCCTTTTCTTGCCCGTGACTCCCCTCTTTCGCCTCGGATGCTTGCTTTTCTGGCTTGCACTTAGTCTCTCTCCCTGCAGGCGCCGCAGCAGTGACTGACGATCAAGACTAGATAGATAATTCTAGAGTAAACATCATGTTCCGCAGGTATCCGTAGTCCACAGTAACTCGTCGTCTTCGGCATCGAAGGCATAGACAATGAACAGTCATTGGCTAGTACTCGCTCGTGTACATCGTGGGATTGCATCGTAAACCGCTGAGCAGCGTCACAGAAAGAGTGGGAACGTGCAGCAGACACCCGCCCAAAGCCACCCCGGTCATCGGCCGTTCCCTTCTCCCCAGTGGTCCATTTTCCCATCTCTTGCCATGCTGGATGCTGGATGCTGGCTTGATGGGTGGATGGCTGGCTGGATGCTGGGCTTCGAAAAGCCTGTTGCCGCCTGCGGGCTTGCCAACAACCCCTCGTCCCAACTATCCCGTCCAAGGTACGTACCCGGTCTTTTATCGACCCCTGTCACGCCAAAAATCACACTAAACACGACGTCGCCAGGAGCAACGCCACCGACAAAGAGCTGCCTTCCTTGTTTGTTTACTTCTTCCCCTCCGCGCACCAATCATCGAGTCCCCGCCTCAACGTCAACTCATACCGCCCGCTGCCCTTAAACAACACTCGACCACATCGACGCATCACAACACAACGTCCCGTTCACCCTCTTGTTGTTTCTCACCACGACCGCCGTCAGGAACGCTATCCCATTACCTGTTGCTGCACTTTGGCGGCATCGCCCTTTTTTGATTTTTTTGTGTGTGTTGCTGTCGTTTTGCGCTGTTCCCTCCTCCCTTCAGCTTCATCACCCAGCATCCCCATACTTCGGCTCTGCCCATTCCAGTCATCAACAACCCATACCGAAATACCCTTCGATTATGACCCGAACCGGCATCTGACAGCACACAATCCCCGAGAGCCTCCCAAGGAGAAAAAAGTCAAACATTCATTCTAGCAGACAAAAGTCTTTCTGCCGCATTTTCCCCTTTGTGTATCTTTGCGAATCCGCTCCAAACCTCGCGGCAATTACCCCGGAACGCACCGCAGCAGAGTCTGCTTAACATCGTTTTTCCTTTCGAGTATTGATCGACGTTACCACCACGTACTGCGATTGTTTCCCCCCCCAATGCGCTTGCGCAGTCACAACAACATCACACAAAATGGCGTCTTCTGAGGATCCCGTAAGTTCTGATACACGCCGCTGCTATGATATCGCGTTTCCCGTGACTGACATTCACCTTTCCAATAGGTACATCCTTTGCGCATCAGCAAAGGCAGCAGCACTCCAGGATCTCCCCCTCCTACCAAGGCCAGCACTGGCATCCCTCGCCCCCTTTCTGAGCTCTCTCCATCAGACCTCAGACGGAACTCACCGAGCTTCAAACAGCCCTCCAAGGTAAGCGGACCGTGTCTGAGACACAATCCCGGTCCAGAATTTCCACTAACAGGTATCGTATAGAAAATGACCCTCAACACCGACTCCTCTCCATTCCAGTCATCCCCACTAGAGACCACTACGTCTCCCAGACTGTTTTGGCAGAAGCGCAACCTGGACTCAATCAGCACTGAAAATAGCGGATTATACGGCGGCGCACGTCACGGCTCGCCTTCGCCGACCCGACGCACTTCCATCGAACGTCTTCAAAGAGCCTCTCGAGTCAAGAACAGCAACATCCTCGCCCTCGAGCAGAAGCAGGAATACGATCCCACAAGAGTCCCTCAAATTGAGCGCCCTCTCGCTAAGCATTCGGGGCCCTCATATGACGGAACAACAACAATCATCAATGGCCTCCGATCTTCTGATTCTCTGAACAGAGGCATCGGCCACCAGCGCAACAATAGCAGTAGATCAAGCATCCCCATCTTCAGCCCGACAACGAGCCCTACCAAGGGTTCTACACCAATGCAAATCAACCCTTCCAACCCGCCGCGCAGCCCGGGCAAGGATCAAGGGTCCCCTATTAAGTCTTCCCTCTCGAGAAGCAACTTCAAGAGCAGCTTCGACCCCGAGACCGGCACCTGGTCAGCCGACACTTCTTTCGACGATCGCGAGCTTCCTTCTGGAAAGTCGCTTCATCGCCACGCCAAGAGCGTCACCTTCGACGCGGCTCCTCCTCAAATCAACGAATATGAGATGGCCACACCGGACATTTCTTCAATAGGATCCAACTCGCGCGAGGGTAGCTTCGACTCCATGGATGACGAGGACGACGAGGACGGACACTACCACTTTGGAGATCACGATATGGAGGGCGACAGCTTCGATGCGTCGCTAGAAGACACAGACAAGACTCCCGTCGTCGGTCCTGACGACTGGAGACAGTCTGCTGAGCGTATGGAGGATCCCTTCGGTGGAAGCCCCATGCCAGATGCGCTTCCTCCTCGTGTGGGCCGCACGGAACACACTCGGTCTGACTCGTCTACTTCGGATCACCGCCCTCTGCCTCCTCTTCCCGGCATGGGCTCACCCGCCCGTGGTTCGCCCGCCTTCAGTGACTCCCGTTCTTCTCCCGGTCTGTCCGCGACAGCGGAAAGGATGGTGGGCGCCCACCGCAGCTTGCCACCGCCGCCCCCGGCAGCTGCTAGCAAGAACGAGATCCAGAGCATTGGCAACGGCAAGATGACTCTCGAAGAGAGGCTAAAACTTATGATGCTCTCAGACGACCACAAGTCTGCCAACGAGCAGCAGAGAGAGCGTCGTCTTCGTCGTGGAGCTCAGCGTGATAGAATCCAGAGCCCCGCTTCCGATACTGAGACTGCCGAGTCCAGCATGCTCTCTGCTGATGCAGACGAGGCCGATGACACCATTGGAGATATCTCTGCCCTCGAGGACTACGAGCTGCCTAGCCGTATCTCCCGTGAGTCCATCATGCGTCGCGTCAATGGTGGCGCCAATGACCAAGGAGGTGACTACTTCTCCTCGCCGGCGCCTAGCTCTAGCCCTGAGCGACCCAGCCCCGAGCGTCGTCTGCCCCTGCCTCTCGACCCGGATGTTCCAATTCCTTCAACTGAAGACTCCATCTTGGACGATATCTCTGAGCTTAGCGACGAGGGTAGTGTCATTATTCACAGAGATGAGACATCTGATGCCGACACCGAGTCAATCACAGATTTCTACGCGCGGTCTGACATTGATGAGAACGATGCCGATTCTGCTAGCCATTACTCTGACGGACCTGCTCGCCAGCCCGAGGTCACTCAGGTCGACGAGGATATCCTCACACCTCGTGCTGCTAGCCCCTTCCAGTCATTCGACTTGGCCTCAGAGATAAGACCTCTGGAACTCAAGTCTGACAAGGGCTTCAGCTCGCCTGACCAACGTGCTGTCTCTCCGGTTGACCTCCCAGTCAGGGAGCTGACACCCGAGACAAAGGCTGAAGAGTTTATCGAGCCTACAAGCGAGCCTCAGGATGAGGTTATTGAACAGCCTCAACCCGAGCCCGAGGCCGAGAAGGAGCCATCGCCAGAGATGCAAGTCGATGCACCTGTCGATACTGCCTCTGAGCGCAAGCACAGCCTCCCCGACTTCCACGACGAGGGCAGAGACAACGAGTTCTCCAAGGGTTTGCAGTCGTTCATGCTTCCTCCGCCTCCGGAGCCGTCTGCCGAGGAAGTCGAGGAGCTTCAGCCACCGCCAAAGATGACAGAGCTCCAGGCTGAAATGCAGCGACCTGTAACCCCGAAGCATCTCTCCAAGCCTGATTACGACGGCTCCGGCTGGGGTGATCCGGAGGATGAAGAGTGTGAGGAGGAGCCCGGTACGCCCGAGTCTGTCATTCATCGACCAATGTCGGATTCTGAATCAGAAATCTTCGATGAGCTTCCCATGGAATCTCCTGCTATCCCCGAAAGACAGGCGACAATCAAGGCCTCGGGATCCAAGTTGAAGACCAGACCTTCCAACACACCCTCTGACATCATTGCCATGAGGGAAGCCCGGCGCCAAGTTAGCCGCGAGGTGCCCGACATTCCAGCCATTCCTGAACGCCACCGCAACAGGCTGTCAAGGGATCTGCAGGGAGAACCCACTATCCACGACGACGAAGAATTCGTCGACCGCCGCTCGAGCTTCAAGAAGCGCAGTCTCACATTGGATCTTGACTTTGGCCTCAGCCTTGACCAGGATTTCGATCGGGTTATTGAACAACAAAAGGTTGCTTTTTCTCAATTAGTCCCCAAATTCTCTCGCATCGCCAGCGGCAGCACCAGCAGACAAGTGTCCAAGCCGACCGCAACCAAGAATAAAGTTATCTCACCGGACAGAAAAGAGTCACAAAATGCTAACCAGAAGAATCAGCGCGGATACCTCATGCGCCAGAACACCAAGGTTGTAACAGCGAGCGACAAGGAGTCTTCTGATATGTGGAAGACTCGATCTGCTGGCAACTCTCCAGTGAAGACAGACCGCCCTCAGTCATGGACCGTCGAGCCCTGGAACGGTAGGCCCAGACAGAAGAGTATCAGACGCCGCGCCAACACCAGTGGTCCTGTCCCGCCTATGCCTGGCCAGGAGAGCAATGCTCAGACTCTGAACCCCTTGGCTGAAGAGGACTTGAATCCGGAGCTCGCTACCGAAGAAAGCGGAGAGCGTGGTCGCCTCTTCGTGAAGGTACTCGGAGTCAAGGATCTCGACTTGCCTATTCCCCGAAGTATGTTCCACCCTCCCAAGTCTCGTCTCCAGATAACTGACAATCGTTTAGCCGAGCGTACCTGGTTCAGCCTGACGCTTGACAATGGTGTACATTGCGTGACAACTGCCTGGCTTGAGCTTGCCCGCAACGCTCCCGTCGGCCAAGAGTTTGAGCTTGTGGTTCCCAACGACCTGGAGTTCCAGCTGACCCTCAACGTGAAGCTGGAGAAGCCCGCGCCTGCCAAGAAGGTGATCGTGCAGTCTCCTACTAAGACCAGCAAGCCCAAGACGTCTACCTTTAGCAGGGTGTTCGCGTCCCCCAAGAAGCGGAAGGAAATGGAGATGCGTCAGCGCGAAGAGGAGGAGCGTGTGGCCGCCGAGCAGCAAAAGGCTGCTCAGGCTAGACAGATGAAGGTCGCGCCTACCGCCTGGGACTTGTTGTCTCCGCTCGCGGCTGAAGATGGCAGCTTTGCTCGCTCATATGTGTGCCTCAAGGAGCACGAGTCGCGCTGCTACGGCCGCCCCTATGTCGTTGACGTCGCTTGCTTCAACGAGTGGGCGACCGAAGAGGCTACCTTTGCCTCCAGCGTCAAGAGCAAGCGTGGCAACACTGCTGTTGTCCGCCGCGCCCCCTACAAGATTGGAAAGTTGGAGCTCCAGTTGCTCTTTGTGCCGCGTCCCAAGGGATCCACCGAAGAGGACATGCCCAAGAGCATGAACTCTTGCATCCGAGAGCTTAAGGCTGCGGAGGAGCGCCTTGCTAAGAATTGGGAAGGTCACCTGAGCCAGCAAGGTGGCGACTGTCCTGTAAGTCTCTCGTCATATCCGATTCATGCTGAATATGTGCTAACCTCACCACAGTACTGGCGTCGACGATACTTCAAGCTCGTTGGCCAGAAGCTCACGGCTTACCACGAGGCTACCCGCCAACCCCGAGCTACTATCAACCTGGCTAATGCCAAGAGGCTGATTGACGACCGGCGTGCCTTGACGGAGCGAGAGACGACTGGCAAGGGCGGCAGACGTCGGCGATCAGCCTTCGCTGAGGAAGAAGAAGGATACATGTTCGTCGAGGAGGGTTTCCGCATCCGCTTCAATAACGGCGAGACCATTGACTTCTACGCCGACACTGCCGAGGACAAGCAAGGCTGGCTGTTGGCCCTGACGGATCTCATTGGTACTGGTCGCGGCGACAGCGAGGACGATGTTGGTGGTTCTCGCAAGCAGGGCAAGTGGTGCGACCTCATCCTCAAGAGAGAGGAGGCGCTGCGACGCCGGCAAGAGGGCCGACGGGTGCACTCGCGGACGAAGAGCACATTCAACTAATACCCCCTTCTTTTCTTGATGATTTGGCATGACCGGCACGAGTAGGGGACACGAAGTAATGGAGGGGCATGGCATGATCTATGATTCTCTTGGACCTGGAGTTCGTGATCGGATCATCATGTTGTCATTGGTCCGCTGTTGCGATGACTTGTGTATTGTGGACTGTGCGCTTGCCTCAATATCTAATAATTTGGCAGACAGGATGGCGTTTGGGCATGGTTTGGATGGCGATGGCGATGGAGGAAATTCCGGAGATTGAGAGCTTGTTGTTTTAGATTCGCACTCGGCTTCTTTTGAGCATTGTTCTAGGAGTCGGGTAGCCCGTTTGGTTGTACGTATCATGTTGTACTAAAATGGGAGGTTTTTTATCGTTAAACTGTCTGGCATTGCATTCTCCTGCCGTGACGTTTGTTGCCTTCCATTGTCTAGGTACTACTCCGTAATCCGAGGGCAATTGAATTCACCCTAGGTCTTGGTCAGTTCGTAGTCACCTAGGTGAGAAGAAGCGCATGCATCACGTGCGTCGTGATGTGCATAAAGTTGCTGGACCCTTGCTCCATTGATATTCTCGTCAGTGGAGGGAAGCCACGGGGGCGCAGCTGGCCGGGGGAGTTTCACCAAGGTATCCATCTGTACCGAAGGCAATGTGCAGCGGTACGAATCGCAGGTGGGTACGTACCCATCCAGAGCAATGGATTGCTGCTCGCTACCTGAATTGCAGTGGGTTGGCAGCAGCAGCAGGCGGGCGGCAGCACCCACTTCGTCTTCCCGTTAGTTCGTTATTTTGGAAGGGCCCGCCAGCAACAGCTCCCAGCTATCTTATTACACCGAATCCTCCCCTTTTGGATCACCAAGAGATCGCAGGTTACGTCGCTTTTCCCTACGCAGCATTGCATATCGTCTGCCTCTTTCTTTCCCGACCCCTTCCCCTCCTCCCTCCCGCCACCCGGGTCTTCCAAATCATACATCATCCTCAATGGCGGGCCGCTTTGTGCGAGCGTCGAAATATCGTGGGTCATTTTTTTTCTCTGTTGTCGCATGCCGCCGTGTTGCGCTGGGACGAGCTGACTGCTGACACCCGATTCCGTCTCGTCTAGGACACGTCTTTGGCAAGCCGACCCGGAAGGAGTTCTGCTACGATAATCTTCACATCAGCCGAAATGCCTGGGATACCAACTTAGTGAAGGTAAGTAAGGGGTTCGCTCCTTTGCTTCTTTTGCCCTCCTGCCGAGACAATTGATGGGGGGCAAGACCGGGGTCGATAGGAGAACAAAAGAGAGAGAGGCTGACCAGAAACTCGCTACCTTTAGGCCAACCCCGACTATCTCTCCGTCAATTGGGATGCCGGCGGCGGCGGCGCTTTCGCTGTCATCCCCCTTGGCGAGAAGGGAAAGGTGCCCGACCAGATCCCGCTGTTTCGAGGCCATACCGCCACCGTCTTGGATACCGACTGGTACGCCGATCCCCGCGACGCCGCGACCCGCGCGCACCATCCACCGACGACGGCGAGCGCACGCGACAATCATACTGATGACCACGTGCTAGGAACCCCTTCAACGACCGCGTGATTGCTTCTGGATCTGAGGATGGAAAGGTCTTCCTCTGGCAGGTTCCCGAGAACTTCACCCTCTATACCGATGCCGATGAGCCCGCCGACGTCTCTCCCGTCAGCAAGCTCGCTGGCCACTCCAGGTTCGCCGCCCGCGGCCTTTTCTTCCCCCACTTCACTTCCTCGACCACGATGCTGATATGTAACATACAGAAAGGTCGGCCAGGTCCAGTTCAACCCCGCTGCGGAAAACATTCTCGCGTCCGCATCCGGCGACTTCACGATCAAGCTCTGGGACATCACCACCGGCTCGCCCACCCACACGCTGAAGCACAACGACATCGTCCAGAGTCTGTCGTGGAACGCCAGCGGCTCCATGTTGGTCACGACATCCCGCGACAAGAAGATCCGCGTGTGGGATGTGCGCGCCGAGAAGCCGGTCCACGAGGCCCCTGGCCACCCGGGCGCCAAGAACAGCAGAGCCGTCTGGATGGGCGAGCACAACCGTTTCGCCACGGCCGGTTTCTCGCGCATGAGCGAGCGTCAGCTTGCGCTGTGGGAGCCTGGTCGCAGTGAGCCGATTGGAGGCTTCAGCATGCTGGACTCCATCTCTGGTGTCATCATGCCTTTCTGGGGTTAGTGTTGGAGGTTCATTCTTCGTAAGGGATAATTGCTAAACTACAGACAGATGACGGATCCAACTGCTTGTATCTTGCTGGCAAGGGGTCAGTAGTTCGTTGAGCAGGGTATAGTCCTTGGGGTACTAACAGTTCTTGCAGCGACGGCAATATCCGATACTACGAGTACGAGAACGACAAGTTCGAATACCTGAGCGAGTACAAGTCTGCCGAGCCCCAAAGAGGCATTGCTTTCGTTCCCCGTCGTGGCATCAATGTAGGTCGACTTCAGCACGCACGTCGTGAAATATCTAGAGAATCATATCTAACGCTGCGTAGGTGCACGAGAACGAGGTCATGAGAGCCTACAAGACGGTCAACGACAGCTACATTGAGCCCATCTCCTTCACCGTTCCCCGTAGAGCCGAAACCTTCCAGTCCGATATCTTCCCCCCTGCTACTGGCCTCAAGCCTGCCGTTAGCGCCAAGGATTGGCTCGATGGCAAGACTGGCATTCCCTCCAAGATCGACTTGGAGAGTGTGTATGAGGGTACCGCGCCGAAGGAGGTTGCCTCTGACTACAAGCCTCCCGTGATCGCCTTGGCTCCTCCTCCGGCTGCAAAGCCTGCGCCAAAGCCCACCCCCGCTCCGGAGCCCACTCCGGTGGCACGCTCACCCCTCCCTCGATGAAGGAGCAGCAGGCCTCCATGTCCAACATGGCTAACAAGTTCAAGGACGACGAGCCTGCTGAGCCTGAGGATGAGGACGACAACTCAAGCTTCGAGGAGGTACAAAGACCAGCCCAGCGTGCCGCAGCCCCTGCTGCAGCTCCTGCTCCTGTCCGTGCCGAGCCGGCTAAGATTCCCTCCCCTATCAAGGCCGCCTCCCCTGCTCAAGTCAAGTCGCCTCCCGCACAACAGTCCCCTGTCAAGCCTGCATCTGCCAACTCACCTGCATCCTCGACGCACATTGAGTCATCTCTGGATCAGATCAGACAGATGCTCGAGCAGCAGACCAAGCTTATTGGCAAGCAGAACGACAAGATTAGCAAGCTGTCGGACGAAGTTGAGGGGCTGAAGCGCAAGGTGAACGCCGGCGGGTCTCAGGACCAGAGCGAGAGGATCAGACAGTTGGAGCTGGAACTTGAGGCCGCGCGGTCTTAGGAAATCTCCTCTGATGTTTTGTGTGACCTAGAGCGTGTAAAGGAAAGGGGGTCTATGGGGGGCGTGTGCATCTGGAGAAGGCAGAGATGTGATGAAAACGGGGTCTTTGGGATGGATAGCAAGCAGTGATTGTCACAAGCAGAGTTAGTTTGGTGTTATAAGTACCTATTTTGTTCTCTTCCCCTTTGTTTCTTTGGCGCATGGCGTGTGAGCACATGGCTGGCGGTGGTGTGTCGACCTACGAACAGCATAGCGCACTCGCAAGTTTAGTTGGCTATTAAGCAATGTGTTTATGGAGGTAGGTGATCAACCATAGGAAGGCCCTGATGAACTGTCAGTCCGTCCGGGTGATGGTTTCATCTGGTCCATTGGATGTGGGCTATCCTTGGCACTTAGGGAACTAGAGATAGTCTCTTGTCGCAAGATGTGTCAGATCCAAGGAAACTTTCTTTTCGTTTTCCTCTAGAGACAGCTGTGCGCGCAAGTGTCTAGGGAAATTCTTTCATCTCATGTTGTTGAGCTATGGGAGGCGAACTCTCAAAGGTGACTTAGACGAAATGTTCAACTGCGCAACTATATTCGTCACATCCAATAGTTAATACTGGATGGTAGAGGGGGGATGGCATCCCACCAAGGCTGACAAGGAGCTTTGACGTCTGTCGACGTCTTTGATCCCCTCCATCCTTATTAATATGGTGTAGGCTGCAGCCAATGAGGGGATGTTCTCCAGCCACAGGCTAGGCGAGGCTGAGAAAAGGGACCTCTTCTCGGACCCGCTGAAATTTTCAAGATTGTCGCGATAAGCTAGGCAGTCTGCAAGTTTCGGTTGCTGAAGGACTTTTTTTTCCCCTTACAACAATGCTGCAACAACTGTAGCACGACAACGAAGCTACGACCGCTGCTATCAGTCGCAAGCAACGAATCCGAGACGCCCGTCATATCCACACAATATTCCGTACTTGCTTCTTCGAGGAAGTAAGAGAATTAAGAGCAACAAGCGCAAAGCTGAAAGCTTCGGTCACCAACTGCGACCGCGAAACATGGCCTCGGTCCTCGGAAAGCGCAAGGCGCCCTCAGCGTCGACCACCAAGACGAGCAAGCCCACTGCGACGGCATCAAGCCAGACTGCTTCACCGGCATTGAAAAAGAAGAAGAGCACCGAGGGGCTCAAGAAGTCTGCCACCGCCGCAGCAACAGCGACGAAGAAGAAGACGACCACCAAGAAGACGAAGGCGAGAAAGGCTGAAGAGGAGGAGGATACATCCATGCTGGACGCACAAGAGATTTTCAGACGGCATTTTGAGGCGCAGTTTACACCAATCGAAGAGAAGAGCGCGCCGAAGCGCAAGAAGAGCAAGGCCAAGGCCGAAGAGGAGGAGGAGGAGGACAGCGCGAGCGGAAGTGACGAGGAAGAAGACGAAGGCGAAGAGGACATCTTTGAGGACGAGGGCGCCGATGGTGAGGAGGGTGAGGGAGAGGAGTGGAGTGGTCTCTCTGGCGACGAGGGTAAGTCAAACCGGCTGGGCGCGAAGTCTAGAAACGCCCATGAAGAAGACCATTCACTAACGAGAGGTTCAACAGAAGACGACTACGACGAGGACAGCGACGTCTCCTACGACGACATTGACGAGAACCCCGTCGTCGAGGTCGTAGACCACACCAAATCCAACGCCCCACCCGTCGTCAGCATGAGCAAGCGCGAACTCAAGGCCTTCATGGTATGTCTCCCCCCCCCCCCCTTCTCTCATCTTCACATCTCGACATCTCACTAACCCCTACTCCTCACAGTCCTCCAAACCCCCCTCCCAAACAGACCCCTCCCCAACCTCCCTCACAGCAGCACAAACCCCCGACGACCCAGACGACGAAAACGACAAGTCCATGCTCGCAAACGACCTCGCCCTCCAACGCCTCCTCTCCGAATCCCACCTCCTCGCCCGCCACGCCGTCTCCCCCTTCTCCAACCCATCCAACGCGGCCTCCAACTCCGAGGGAAAACTCCGCCAGCGCCAGACGGACCTGCGCACCCAGTCCCTCGCCGGCGCGCAGGGCGTCTCAGGCGTGAAGTCAATCTTTGTCCAGGAGAAAATGCCCATGGCGATGCGCAAGGGCATCGTCGCCAGCACGGCCAAGCGCGAGGAGAAGCGCAGGAAGACGGCGCGGGAGAATGGCATCGTGTTGGAGAGGGAGGCGCCCAAGAAGGCGACGAAGAAGGAGAGCGGTGGTCGGTTTGGACAGAGGGGGCTCGATGGGCTTGATGTTGGAAGGATGAGAGGCGCTGAGCTGAGGTTGAGCGAGAGGGATGTTCGGAATATCGAGGGCGGCGGCGGCGGTCGCGGTGGTGGACGTGGAGGTCGGGGCGGAAGGGGAGGGAGAGGTGGTGGTAGTGGTGGTAGGGGAGGCCGCGGGAGGAGGTAGATTGACGATTTACCATGCCGGATGACTTTAGAGCCCTGATGTACCTACAGTAATAGGTGCCTTACGTCGGCAGCGGATCATAGCCTTTTTCGAGGCAGTAGATCTTAAAAGAGACAAAGCTTTACGCAAATTGTTTGCTCTCCGTCCATAACGCTCAAGTGCGTATACGTGACTGGGTCTTGATACATTTCCATTTGCTAGCATGGGCGTAACCGTTCACCGTAGGTCCGTGTAGGTCCTCATGATAGTTGATGCTGAGCAAGACACATTTGAGCATACATCACTGGCGAGGAACCGGAACTGGACGATGCGGTCAAGGTGAATCAACATTCGAGACTCTGCTTATTGTTTCGTGGCAAGCCCTGTCGAGAAGTCCAAGAAATACTCGGCAGTCTTCTCCCCCTGGTATCATCTGGCCTTCTGGCAAGTGTGCTCTTCTCAACTATGCCTCTCCAGCACAAAGGAAAAAGAAACAAACTATATATACATGTGCGAGTCGTTTCTCTTCTTCGCATATCGACCCTAAGCTCATGCATAAAATCTCCCTTTTCGACGGGTACCTTCGTACGTCGAGATCTTCCCAGTCTCTCCGTACGTACCTCTATGTGTGCGAGTTTCCTTTTTGGTGTCTGAGACCAACGGCCAGACTCAATGCTGAACACATGAAACTGAAACTGAAATAAATAAATAAAAATTCGCCCGGAGCCAAAGGAGCAATTGTCCAGTCGCTAACGCGTGCCAAAATCCATCTTCTGGATGGATGGAGAAAAAAGAAAAAGTCCCTGACCCATTCCGAACCTTTGTCATAGCCATGCCGCCCTCTAAGTAACACCGTGTCGAAGGAAACGTAACTCCAGTCGTAATGAGAGCCGAAGCTCGTGAGGCGTCGTCTCTCACATGATGGCGCTCGCGTTCACTGCCGGTTGGCTAATGGTCATCGGCATGCTAAGCGTCTGCAAGCTGTTGAACGATTGCGCCATGCCGTTCGATGTCGGCGGTGTCGAGCCGTTGGCAACACCGTTGAGCGAAGCGGTGACGTAGGCGTTCTCGGAGTTGGGCGATGCCTCCTCGAGGGAACCGAGCTGGTCCTCGCCAGAGTACTCTTCCTCCTCCTCGCCGGAAAAGTTGAGAGCAGCCTCGCCGTTCTCACCACGGTCATGGGTACGCTTGTGTCTGTGAAAACATCAGAGTCAGTCCATGCTATGCGACGAGGTTGATTCCCCCCTAAAAGTTGGTGGCTGCGTAGTGATGATGATGAAGTCTGTGTTGTGGCGCGGCGGTTTGGACGTTGGTTTTCATCGTTTGGGGTCTCGCTCCACATTACATCTTTCTTGACAAAGGAAATGACAAAGGAAATGAGATGAAGGAAAGTTGGGGCATACTGTGCTAGGTTGTCTGATCTGGAGAATGCCTTGCTACAATAAGGGCAGATGTAGGGTCTTTCTTGTGTATGTGTTCTCACGTGTCTGGAGGTTTGGTCAGATTTCAGGCAGGTCGTTTTTTTGGTTGATCACAAATAAAATCGAGTCTGGTTCTTACCTCTTGAGGTGCTCTAATCTCTTGAAGAGACGACCACACGTGGGAATAGGGCAGGAGTGGGACTTCTGGGGGTAGGGACCAAGTTCCATGACAGTCGCGGAGCGGGCTCTGCGAACGACGCCGTTGGGGCCCTGCATGCCTGGCCGGGGAGCACCGTTCATAGAACCATCACCGGACATGTCATCGTGTTGGAGGTGGGAGTAGTCTTGCTGCTGGAGGGACATGGGGTTGAGAGCGGGGCTGCCCTCGACAGTGGACAGCGGAGTGCCGTGCCGGGACAGGTCCAGCATCTCCTTGTGCTGCTGGCTTACCATGGACATGGCGGAGCTGCTGTAGGCAAGGCCGGGCGGGGAGTTGTCTGCAGATTCGTCGCCTTCAGCCACAGGACCGACGGATGCAGAGACCGACCGCCGGAGATCCGAGGGTCTGTGCTGCTGTTGGTGTTGTTGGTGCTGCTGTTGCTGAGCGGCAGCCTGTGCCTGCGCTTGGGCAGTGGCAGCGGCAATGGCCGACATTGACGGCGGGATGGACGAACGCCGCCTCCTCTGCTTGTAGGTGGGGGATCCTTCAATAACAGAGTAGACGTTGTTTGAGCCATAAGCTCTCGAGAACTGAGGGCCGGCGAGGTTGGAGGGGGGAAGCTGGATCATGCCGTTGAGGCCGTTGACGTTGCCGCCCATGTGGTCGGGGATGGCGGTGTACAGGCCGGTCTCCTCGTTGGCGATGTAGGCGGGCTCGGCGGCCATGCCCAAGGCCTGCTGGGGAGGGGTGATGGGCTCGAAAGAGATTCCGCGGTTGCTGTAGTCCTCGTACTGAGAAGAGACGAATGACGGGGCGGGAGAGTACTCAAGGCCGTAGGCGGGCATCGAAGCGTGTCTCTGGTGACCCTGGGTGATGGGGACACCGTTCTGGTTGTACTGGACGCGAGCGAAATCGGGTTCCCTCTTGACCATCTGCTGGGGGGGCATCTGCTGAGGCATACCCATCGCTCCGTACGGCACCATCGACTCCATACCATCCTGCATGGGAGCAACTGATTGAGGAATCATCTGCGGGGGCGGCATGTTGTCCATGGGTCTCATGATCGGCGAGGTGGACTGAGACTGAGAGAAGGTGACCTGCTGGGCGTTGAAGGATGAGGAGTTGGCCTGCTGGGCCTTGGTGAGTTGCTCGTAGAGCGACTGAGACGAGTCGTACTGGAATGAGAGAGCAGGCTCGCTAACAGCGACGGTAGTGGCCTCCTGGCCCATCTTCTCGCGCTTGAGGTCACGCTCGAGAGCATCGAGGAAGAGTCTGTCGTGGGGTACGCTGTACCAGTAGAAGACCTTCTGCTTCTTTTGCGTGCGAATGCAGTTGTTCTTGTAGAGGAAGTCGAGGAAGGGGCTCTTGGGCTCCTCGAGCGATGCATCGGTTCCCGACTTCAAGTTTCTCAGGTCGGAGAAGATGCCCTCCTCGAACTTCTTGGAGTTCTTCACTGGCCGGCCGAAAGCCTGGAATCTGAAGGACAGGCATCTGACGATGTCGGTTCCGGAGATGTGGAAAAGGTTGTTCCAGAGAACGCAAGAAACGTACTCGCCCGTGGGGAGAAGAAATCTGCGGATGTACTGATCGGGTTGCCAATCGACAGGAGCAGAAATGAGGAAGTATTTCACTGGGAGACGAGTCAATTGAGAGTTTCCAAAATTACCGATGCGATTTCCACTTACGGTTATCAACCTGTTGCAAAGCAACCTGGGCGTCATGAGGCAAGGCTTGCTGGGCCTCGGTGCTCAGCATGAAGGTCTCTGGTTTTTGGGGGGCCATGCCCGCGGCGGCATGTTGTGAATACATGCTGTCGGATTGGTTGTGATGGGGGTTGACGACGGGTGTCGGTCGCGTCTGACCGGATCGAGAGCGAGGTCGCGCGGGTTGTTCGCCTCGGCAGGATTGCGGAGGTGACGAAGAGTCAAAGAAATGGTGTGTTCGTTTTGCGAGACGGAGATTCGCAAAGCTGATTGAAGGCGCTGCCCTGGTTGGATGAGCCCGGTAATGGGATTGTTGCTAGTTTTCTTTTTGATTGATTTTTTGAGACTTAAATCGAGTCCAGCCCGGGAGGAAATAACTTTTTTGGTTGGCACAACTGTAGACCACAGAACCCAAACTCGACCTCAAGCGAATGATGGGTGATTTCGGCTACGCAGATCAAGACCGTCAAGGTGCTGATGATGTTGATGATGGGTGAGTTGAGTTGATGTTTATCGGCGCCTTCGGTCTCGGAGTGGAACCTTGGGGTCGAATGAATTAGGGGTCGTTGGTGGAAGACGGTGCGTCAATGGCAAAACAAGGTGGAAAAAGCTCGACGAAGGGACCCTGCGCAGGAACTGGAAGTGGTTTGGCGACTAGACGTGCTTGGTGCTTGCTGACGCGATGCGATTCGCGATGATGGACAAGCGTGCAACGGGCAATGTCTGAAGTGTCGATGGGCGGGATGATGTGCCTCGGGGATGGTCAGTCCTGATGAGATGGCAAGAGAAACGGGGGTGGGAGGTACGTGCGGCTCCGACGAGGAGAGAAGGGGAAGAAGGGGGAGGGAAGTAGAGGGAGAGAATGGAAAAGAGAGATGGGAAGAAAAGAAGAGTCTTGTAAAAAGAGATATCAGAAGAGTTTGGGAATGGGAGGATGGTCTGGGGGTTTAATGATTTTGGACGGGGTGAGAAAGGGAGGAGGAAGAGAGAAGGTCAGGTCCCCAGCAGGTCAAGGTCAAGCGAAGTGGTTCTTGGGTACGGAGTATGCTGGGTGGTGGTGCGTGTGGTGGTGCGTGGTGTGCGTGGTGCGCGGTACCTTGGGCCTGGGGGGGAGGGAGGGGGTCGTGGAAAGGAGGAGTAGGTAGGAAGGAGGAGGAGGAAGACGAGGAAGTGGGTGAGAAGGTCTGGTGTGGTCTGGTCTGGGTCTGGCGCGGGATTGGACTTTTGGGGCCCTTGCCTTGGGTACTTCGTAGAGAAGGTACTTGGGAGTGTGGGAGTAAAGAGAGCGGCGGCAGCGGCAGTGAGTAGGTAGGTACCTGCACTAGGTACTAAGGTATGGTAGCAGCGCGCGTGGGTGTCGGGTAGGCGTGCGGCGGATGGGAGTGAACCAAATGGTGGTAGCCGATGGGTGGAAGGCCAAGGGGGCAAGAGGAGAGAGAGAGACTGAGAGCACAGAAGGACCCGACTTACCTTGGTACTGAGTGATTGAGTGACTGACTGGTGACTGGACCGTCGGGCGGGTTCAGGATGAGCAGAGCAGATCGAAAGGAGGGCAGAGCAGAGAGAGAGCAAAGACGCGGCCGGGTGGACGAGGGGGGAGGGTGTTTAAGAAAAAAAGAAAAAAAAAGGAAGGGGGAGGGGGGTGTGAAAGTTGGGTGGAGAGGGGAGAGAAGTCAAGGAAGGAGGAAGGACGAGCGAGGAAGCAGGGCCCGGTACCTTGCTGTGGTACCTGGACTGGACGGGACTGGACTGGCGGGAAGAGAAGGAGAGCAGACTCAGACTGAGAGTGAGAATGAGAATGAGAGTGAGAGTGAGAGAGAGAGAATCCACGTCCACCCATCCATCCACAACCACCACAAACCCAGCACCAGGCCCGGTTAGGTCAGACAAGGGTAGCGTGAGTGGAAAGACAACAAGTCAAGAAGTCAAGAGCGAAAGTGGGCCAGCACCCAGACTTTCTGACTGAGAGGAGGAGATGGTCATGGTGGTGGGATGGAGACGGAGAGACCTTGGAACTGGGGACCTGATTGGGACTGTGCAAGTGGACATGGATATGCTCCCAGGATTAGGACCATGGACGATGGCGGAACAGGGGTGTGGGAGTGGACGGGTGTGGATGAGATTTGTGGAGGATGAGAGAGAGAGAGAGAGAGAGAGAAAGAAGACGAGAGACTAGGTCAGGTCTTGGACACACACGCGCGCACACACGCTGGACCTGGACTAGGAGCAGAAGGGGAAACGGAGGAGAATGTCAATGAGGGCGAGAGACAGCGGCGCCCGCGCGCACACGTACACATTCACTCCGTCTGTCTGTCTACCTGTCTACGGCACTGGTCAGATACCCTTCACATACACGCGAAGCCAGAGTGTGAGAGTGAGAGTAAATGAGAGACAACGACAACGAGTCCAGGTTTAGCGGGTGAAAAGACGAGTGAAGGGGGCACGAGGATGCAGAAAGACTAGGCAAAAAGTAAGTCAAGCAAGCAAGGTACGGATACCATACCTCCCTATCCGATACCTGTCTTGCCATTGGGTTGTCTTTTTCTTGTCTCTGACTTGCTATGCGTGGGTGAAGTTGAGTTGGGACAAGCCAGGGGTGTCCCGCGGTTTAGCATGCCTACGAATACACATGTATGCATCCCGCACGCCGGCACACAACAATAACAACAACCGGGGACGGCTTGTGTTATTGTTGACATTCATCAGTCCCGTCCCTTCTCGTCTTGTGCATAGTATACTGTGTAATGCGCGTGATCATGACAGTCGGAGTTGCAGGTTCTTGCATGTAACCCAGCAGAGTGGGACATTCTTTTTAATCAAGAGCAATAAAACTGCAGAAAAGTCAACTCGCCAGACAGACGGGAACTCGGGTATATGCTATAAGTCGGCATGAAGAGGCTGCTATCAACCGTTGCACCCCCTGCAAGCCATTAGTCACTTGGGGGGGCGGGGGCTCTCAGGCGTTGTCGCGTACATTCGTACGGAGTGCTGAGGTGGGATGAAGCGTGGCTGTGGGGAACAGCGCTGGGTGCTCTTCTTTTGGTGGATAGGTATCAACTGAGTGAGTCCAGTGTCTCTTGTCTATCCCGTACTTAACTCTCTCTGCCATGCGTCGCGGCAGAGCTTTAGTATTGTACGACAGTAATCATGTGGAAGCGCTGATGGTTCCTGGTGGTTCCTGGCTCGGCCTTTTTAGTGCCTACTGCTTGTACGGATAGGTATCGTTGCTGACAAAAACTTGTCGGAACTGTACTTTCACTACTAGCAGCCATCGACGGGAACTGTAGATGGACGGAAACTAGACGCAGGTCCAGGTCATGGACTAGTCCGCTGCTGCCAACTGGTACGGGGAGCCCTCGTGTTACCATTCCTGCGTGTGTGATGAGTATATACATATCCCATACAGAAGCATCATGAGATCATGTTCCTGTTGTTCCTGACATGCCGTCCCTGTTCCTGTCTGGCTCTGTTCTAGGAGGGGAAGTCAAAGTCGAAAGCCCATAGCCAAACTGTACCGTAAGGGTTGGCCACCGCGGCACCACCAGATGGAGGGGAGAGAAAGCGTGCGGAAGTACCGACCGGGGGTGGCCAGGGAATCTTTGTGGATCGCCGATTGGCCGGACCTGGAACTAGCCTTTCCTCCCGCCAGACGGCCAGGCGGCCAAAGAGAGACTTGAGAGTGAGAGTTGAGAGACAAGAGAAAGATGGTCGCTGCTTATCCGTACGGTTTTCTTTCTTTCCCGCTCCCAAGTGTCTGTCTCTTAGCCCCATCTGACGAAGATCCAGGCTCCGTCGTTCTCGCTTGGCCGCTGTGGGAAAGGACTCTCTCTCTCTAGGGCTCTGTACACCATCCGTAGTCACTTTTGAAAAAAAGAGAGAAAGGGAGAAGAGAGATAGAGATAGAGTATGAAAGAAGAACGGCGCTCCGCGCCAGGCCAGGCCCCCCGCGGGGGAGGCGGGGGTGAGGGAGAAAAGGAAAAGGCTTTCGCAATCGGCATAGCTTTGGCTGATAGCCTGATAGGTTGGTTGGTTCTTCTTTTTCCATCTCTCTTTCTCTCTCTTCCTGTGCGCACGGGGCATCTGGGCGGAAAGTGTATGTATGTAGGGTACGGAAAAAAAAGAAGGGGTGGTGGATGAGAGGTGACGAGAGTTGAGTTGAGTTTAGTTGTACCAGGGGTGAACCTCTCTCGCTTGCAGCCGGTAAAGCGGCCCCGAGACAATGCATCTGCCAAATGTCTCTCTCATCTGTCTCTCTGTTCCTCTCGTTCTCTTTCTGTCTATCTGACCCGTTCTAAGATCATGGATCGAGTTGAGTTGGTCCAGGATAGGGAATTGCATTCTGCAGAAACGAGAGAAGTGCCACAGACAAGCAAGCAAAGACTGCTACTACGGACCACCTAGGTATGTAGACAAGAAGTCCGGACAAGTAGGCCCCAGTTGCCGGTAAGCTCGTGTGTCCACAAAGCAATATCGCTACATACCGCTTACAAGACACAACGGGCCACCCAAGTGAGTAAAAAACTAAAGTGTTGTGTTAAGCACCTAGGATAATACGTAGAGCGGGACGCAGAGCACCGCAATCCCGCACCTCGAAGCGAAGGGGACATTACAGGAAACCCATCAACCGCTGACAGAGCGGACAGCAACAACACTGACTGGCTTTGGCAGCGACAGCGACACTGACACTGACATTGGCTCCCGCTCGTCCATAAATAATAAAAAAACGCTCTCTGTCTGTCCCTTGCCTGTGCTCGCGCCTTTTACAGCTTTCTCACGTTGACTAAGGAAAGGGGGAAGTCTCGCGCTCTCACTCTCGCTCAACGCGCTGAGCCAAGTCAGTTAGACAGTCAGACAAGTCTCGCGCGGCCCTCCTCTCTAGGCCCTAGAGTCTTCGATAACTGTCTGCGCCTGGTTGTTCTCCATAACCGCACAATGCACATGTAAAGTCACTGTCAGTGGCAGTCCCTGCGTAACAAGTCCCCCTCCACCATCTCTCTCCCTCTCCCTTCAACGACCCAGCCCAACCCACTAACATGCTGGACCTCGCATGTCATTGATGCCGGCAACCTTGCTCTGCTTCCTGTCAGGGCTTCCCTTCCGCTAGGGGGGGCGACATGCGGACATCGTCCACGGCGCCCATGAACGGCAGTGGTCCATTTTGATGGGCATCAGTGGGTTTGGTTCCAATTGGCCCCTTGGCCCTTGGCCAACAGGAAGACCGGATCTTCTGTCGTCGTCAGGGATGGTGAAGAGAGGACAATGCTCTTCTGCGCGTGTGTGTCTCTCTCTCTCGCCGCATCTCTCTTGCACAAAAACGAAGTCTTGTCTCTCTACTCATCGGGCTCTGCTCTCTGGTAAAGGGACCCGGTCACAATACTCCAGGAAATTCACCAAAAACAGGCAGTCAACGGCGCGGCGCAAGGCAAGGCTACCATCTCCACTGCCCTTTCTCGGGATTAATATGCGCATCCCCCCTCCTCCGTAAAAGGCCCCGAGATGGCTAGCAGTAGATCCCCCCTTAAGTCCCCATCGTGTCCGCTGGGCCCCCCGTCATGGTAGTGTACGGATACTGGGCGGCGGCGGCAGCACGCCGTGACAGAACGCTCTCTAAGCTTGTTCTCCAAAGGTTAAACAACCCGGGCGCCAGACCTAATCTCGATAGTCCAGGGGAATCTCATTTCCATCCCGGTGCCGATATGCCCATCATCGATTTTTTTGGCGGGATTCCGTACGGAGTAGGTCATTACGCTTGCACCGTTGAACTTTACCATTACCTTGACGTTTGCCCACCCAAGACCCAGAAAATGCAGTGAAGGGCATCAAATCGTGCAAAACAAAATTATTCGTGCCATTGGGTCGCGCGCTCAACCCTGGGTTGGGATGCAACTTTTGTCGCCATCCTTGCTCTCCACCCCCCATCAGTAGGGTGTGCCGATAGAGTTTCCTGCTAACCATGCCAGGCACACAGGACCCGAGCAAGGATTCTGGATTTCAGTGAACGGGCTTCCTTGGGGGGAACACCATCATCCATGGCATGGAATCGAAAAACTGGGGAATGAAGAAGGAGATAATGTACGGATACGCTCTAGAAGGAAAGAAAAAAAAAAACCAGTCGACAGCGGCGAGCGGAGGTTTTTTCTCGCCTTTATTTTTTGGGAAGATCTTCTGCCTTTTTGCGGGCAAATCTACCCTAAAAGAGGTCTAATTCGTATGCACTGCCGTTCTTGCGTCATTGCCTGTTGAAGTTTCCGCCCGGCTTGCTTGCTGTCTGCTTCAGGAGTGGACTTCTTCCCCCCCAGCGGTGAATCTAACGGGACCGAAAAACGCAGTGCGAATTCAGGAAGCTTGCTCCCCTAGCAAAAACGCTTCTTCCCCATCCCACCATTATCGACTAACTCCTGTTCAAGATCTAGCAGTGACAAGTTTCTCGATTTGCTATCGTGATCTCGTTGAAGATGCTAGGCTAGCGGCGTCTGGCGGTTGATGAGACGGTCAACTTTCGTCGTCAGTCTCAGGCCATTGATTGGGTCCTTTTCCCAGAGGTGGCTTGAATTGGGCTGCTTCATAACTTCATGCTACAACCACGAATACCGGTCCATAGAACCCCCCCCCCCAAGCAAAGGCACAAAGTACAGTTCCCTCGGCGAGTGGTCGCACTGACTAGGATGATTGTGCTGGGGAAGCATGTACCCAAAGCATTGTATTCTTACATAGCGCGCGGGACGCTGAAGGAGGAGGGGCAACGAGAAGAAAAGATACGGCCGCGTGCGAGAGACCTGGGCGTTGTGCGCTTCAGGATCGTTGGTTTATTCAGAACGATGTACCTACATACATCAGCGGGAGACAATCCTGGGCGACCGTCTGCTGCTGAAAGGCCGTCCGTGAGGCCCTGTCATGGATGACCCCATGTTCGACTATTGACAAGGTCTTTGGTTCTACCCTTCCGGGTATGGGTCGTTTGGCTGTGGGTTCAGGAAGGTAGACAAGGAACGGCACCAGAAAATTAAAATAAAAAATGGCAATACTTCAATATGTGCTCTCTATTAATGGGCAGCATCGACAAGTGGTCCGGAGCTACAGTTACATTGACTCACTTCTCATCGTACGTCTAGAACCGAACCGTCCGCACAAGTCGAAACAGACGCAGCTTGCTTGTCCTACTTACTACACCGCAAGCAACCGGCTATTGAACGAGGATCTGACGAATCTCTGAATCATTGTTGAGAGACCCATGCTTTTGGTCTAGGACACTTGCTCCCCCCCCCCCAAGTCCCCCGAAACAATCATTGGTTCGCCGCGGCGGACCTTGTCCGCATCGTATCCTTTTTCGTGATTGTTTGTGACGACGGCAACGGCCGTGTCTGTGTGTGAGTGTACTTGTGTGTGACGAACCAGCACTGCAAAAGACAATGGGCGAAGGGTTTGCCAAAAGGGGCAAGACATGTGGATCCGACTTCTCAGCCATGCAGGAACGGAAAATGAGGCGTCGTCGGAGACAGCGCAGAGAAAGCTGACGAAAAAGGCCGGCAACAATATTGAGATAAGACTCTAGACTTTGAGAGACCTGGAGGTCAGGGCGTAGTCAAACTCTGGATAAGTCGACTTATCGGGATTTGACATATTTTATGCACAGCTGTCTGATATAGTATACTCAGATACTGCAGGTCAGCCAGACAAGTCATCGCATCTCGCGGACTCTCCCATTGTCTTCCGCGAACCGGAGCAGGCCAAGTCCTTGCAGCGGGGCCGTCCGGCTCCCAGATGGTCTTTGCAGAACAAGATCCGGAGCCGTGTCTCTTGCCTGCATGTTGC